TTTTAGACTCCTAAATTATCAGATTTCATAAGCTATAACTGTTGACAAGAATTAAGGACATCTTCACAGCTCTGATAAGTCTAGAATACAGTGTTAATGACCACAGGTGATCTTATTACCTAACATACAAGTGCGTTTCATTAATACAGTGATAAAGTGCTTGTTTAATCAAAACCAATAAATGTAGATCAAGTTTAAAGTTCAGGGCCAGATTTAAAGAGATGTAAAATTTCAATCATTTTCTACATTAAAGGTCTAAACATGTATAAAAGAGCATATCTTAATTACTATGGATGTATTAAACTTACATATCCTTAACTCTATAAACATAACTTTAAATCTTAGACTCACAGCATATCTTGTTTTTAGATGTACACATACGTCTTAATTGAAGCAGGTACAGCTGCCTTAACTGGTTATTAGTACACATTGAACAGACAGATGGACAAACTCTTAAAACAGTTTGTTGTGATGTGCTCTCTAAATTGAACTACGACAATCCTTCTGTAGTATTTAGGTTTGTAATTATAAGTAAACTAGTCAGAACTTTTCTTATAATCATGACTTAATAGAGATCTCCTGTAAGAAGAATCAGAAAGAAAAAAAACACTGTTTACACCTGTGAAAGCAAAGACTGATTTTAAGACAGGCCCTAGGCCGATGGTTTATCTTATTGAAGTAGGCGGCTCTACAGGCTTCTCCTTGTTGTTTGATAGCCATAGATGATAGCCAAAACTGCTGTTTTGACAGTGGTGTGTAATTGTTCTCTAAAGGAATAGACTGTTAAAGGTAATTCCAACTATTTTTATTTTCAGGGGGTGTTGACCTTTTTGCTTATTAATAGTTGACAATTTAAAATAAGTGAGGGGCTTAGTTCTTGTCCTAGGGCACATAGGATAAGGAAGGGTTGCTTCAGACTCAGTCATGATACCTGCATCAGATGGCACCTTCAGGACCAGAGGTATCTAGTTTTTCAGTGGTTTACATCTGCACTTTGAAGACAAGTCAGGTTTGTCTCTGAATGCAAATGAGGAGACTTGAATAACTGCTTTCTAACTTCTCCAGGGATAAATAGAGGCTGTAATGGCCAAAAAAAATCCCACCCTCAGGCCCCCTAGGGCAAAGAAGTCTCAGACATTTTTGTGCTATCTACCTAAATCCCCAGGGCGCTCTCCACAGCAAGAAAGGGTAGGTTTTACCCCAATTCTCTTTGAAACCCTATACTCATTGTCTAGCACCCATAACCTACACATCAGTGAAAGTACATAAGTCACTTTCTTCCCTCACCTACAAACACAAATGATGAGAACCAGACCTAGGAAAGGGATAAGCCAGATGGTTGGGGCCTTTTGAGAGTGTGAGGGGTGAGAAAGTAAGAGAGAAGTAAACCATTGGGTTCCTTCTAGGTTTAAGTCTGTAGACTTTACCAAGTCCTGTGGATAGCATTACCTATAACCTGATCTGCCAGTTGTATCTACAAGGTTTGGGACATGATCCCAGCCACCTAAAGAAGTGAGCCATGACATCAGATGGGCTGCATTTATGCTCTTTGATTTAGAGAGATTAAAACAGCAGTTTAGAAAACCTCCCTTACCAAAACCTTTTTTGGGATCTCTTTCCCTGCTCTTTAGTAGAAACAAAAAACAAAAAACAAAAAAAGAAAAGAAACAAAGGAAAAGGTGGCAGGAAAGAGATTGGAACTAAGTTGTAACAGTGCCAGAGGTTTTCTCCTTATATGCTTGTGGTGAGTTGATAGGACAGTTTGTTCAAGAGTGTCACCCTCAGTCTTGGAAAATGAAAGTTGTGTATCTCAAGAGCTAGAAATTGTTCCCTCACCAGTAGAGGATTATACTGGAAAGAAAACTGAGGCAGAGCAGGCTCAACATTCCCTTTTACAGGTGTGGAAGAAGGATCAGGCCAGACTCTGCCAGAGAAGCTTGTCCTCCCAGATTTAGGAATGGCAGTCATGCTAATAATTTTTAATTGAGGGAGTCCTGTGTTTTATGTTTGAGGCATATTACAATATTTTCTATATAGATTCTATCTAAAATTCACCCTGAAGATAAAGAGTTTCCATGAAAAAACGAAGTCCACTAGGGAGCTTCAGCATTACCTTTCCCTAGTGCTGCTGTGGAAAATAAGATAACAAATCATCTCGTAACTGCCAAACAAGTCAAGCAAGGGATACCAGTAAATTCAGCCCTAGTAAGGCTGATGTGCCATATACAAAACAGGGATACAAGGCCCTGCCTGCAAAAATAAAGATGTCCCATCAAAGAACACTAAATATGAAGACATCACAATCAACTTTATCATCATTTTAACAAAAAAGATGAGGCATAAGCAACTGACCAACAAAGGTGAAAATTTTGGGGCTGGGGATTTAGCTCAGTGGCACTGTGTCCAAGTTTGATTCCTGGTACCAAAAAAAGGGACAATTTTTGATTACCTCAATGAGTCAATCAAGAGTCCAGTCAGAGTATTTAGAGGTGCCATGAAACAAAAGCAAACTTTTACCTTCTTGCAAAAGTCTCAGTGGGACCTCCAAACTGATATAGGAGAAATATAACTCCCAGCTTGCTAGATATCCGATGTGCTGAGTCTACTGTCCTGTGAAATTGAAGAATGAATTCCAAAGGACAAAGGAGGTTAAGAGTAGGAAAGAGACAGGAGGGTTCCCGAGTGGGTTGCCCCTGTGTGACAAATTCCAAGCAATAGAATTGGTGGCCTAAAGGGCTTAGGCATTTAAAATTTAGTATTTGTTGTCACACTGCTCTCCATAGGTTGTTCTAATTTATATTCCCATCAACAGTGTATGAGAATACGTCACCAACACTGTTTTCAAACCTTTTGTTCTTTGTCAACCTAAGTAAAAATATTGTAGTTTGCATTTCTCTTAGTATGAATGAGTTTGATAATTTTTTGATGAATTTAAAAAGCATCTGTATTTTTATTTCTGTGAATTGTCTGTTCAGGTCCTTTGGTCATTTTTCTATTGAGCTGTTGATTTCTTTTCATTACTGTTGATTTTTTTTTTTTCTTTGTGAGAAATCTAGTAGTTAGAGAAATTAGTTCTTTATGACATATTTAGCATACTTTTTCTTATTTGTCTTTCACTCTATGATATTATTTAGCATGCAAAAGTGCAATTTTTATTTTTTTATATTTTGTGATACTGGAAATTAATCCAAGGCTTTTCTATCCTTTAATCAAACTGTGTAGATATCAGATAGTTGGTACCATACCTGGTAATTCAGACTGAATGATAAAAAACTAGAAAAATGTATAAAAGAGAAAATAGTTTTCAATATTTTGCTTTTAGAAATTTTTTGGACTGCCTGACCAGTAGTATCAGCAAGTATTATAGTTCTCACCTGCTTGAAGCAGCATTTATTATCTTCTACAAAACTCATCTGGGTATTGTTATAAAGTCAGTAACCTTTAGTGTATATTGAGGATATACACTGTAAGTGTATAAGAAGTATAAGAAGGATACTTCATGGTGGTAACTGAAGGAATCAGGAGAAGAGTTTGAAGAGATCAAACTTAGGAAAGGTGAGGCAAGTTGCTTTGCTCTTAGGCTTCTTGAGCACCTCCAAATCCAGTCTGAGGTTTTGTAAGCACGTAATGCTTTCTTTATAATTTCCATATTAATTTGGGATGTGATTTAATGCTTGCCAAGGTTGCCTATGAAATAAGATAATCTTTGCATCCAACACCTTTTATTGTCCCTGAAGGTAGAAACATAAAACATAGTAGTTTATCCCTGATCACTGTGAGTGCAGAGATAAGAGATTAAAAAATAATAAATATGAGGAAGTTACAAAATACAAGGAAATACTAAATTTTTGTAATAATAGAGTTCTGGTTTCTGTTGCTGAGATGGCAAAAGGACAGTCAGCTGGTCTTCTTTATCATCTAGTTTTACTCTACCTGTTGTGGTGGATTAATGGTCAACTTGGAATGCCCTGCTGAACTGAGTCAGCATGGTTCTGGGCATGGAAGACCTGCCTGAAAATTGTTGCCAATGGCATAAGAGAACTGGAGGGAAAAGTTGCATGCTGTTGATTTTCGTGGAGAAACTTGCCAAGGATGATTTTCCTGATGCAAACTTGGCTGTTCTCTTCATTGGAGCTTGGGTCCTTGCTGTTGCTGGGAATGGCTGCTCTGTTCCTTGCCTTGAGTGTCACTTCCTGGCTTCAGTGTAGATCTCTCAGCCTGGTGGCACAGATCCTTCACCCCACTGGTACAGGCTTTCTAACTTCCACCACTGGCCTTGCCAGTGCAGATCCTTGATGTGGGCTTGCATGAGCATTGCTGTGGGCTCTAGGCCTCCAGTTGGACCTGTGCAAGACATTGCCTTGGGCTTTAGGCCTTTAGCTGGACTTTTGGGGGACATTAGTGTGGGATCCAGGCCCTCGGCTGGATTCTTCTGGTCTGTAGTGTGTGGAGTGTCTCTTGCACTCCTCTGCATTTGACTTCTTGGGTGAATATTATGAAATAATTCTGTAAATTATGTGTCCTGTATTAAATCTATTCCCTTGCAAACCCTGACTATAACACCTGTCCTCTCTACTCTCCCTCTCCCCTCCCCTCTCCTCCCTTCCCTTCCTGTTCCCTCCAGTATTGAGGGTAGACCAGTAGGTCTCACATGCTAGGCAAGTGTTCTATCACTGAACTACATCTATAGCCCAACACCTTGCTTGTTCACCTGAGCTCACATTTAGTGGCCATACCAACTCCTTCCTTCATGCTGGTGTGATGATCTATATTATTAATTACCCCGTGGAGCTGGTCAAGCAGAACAGTTGGTGATCCGTTGTATGAAGTGCATTCTGAAAGCTTACCTGGACACATCCATATCTTCCTCCTTTTTGTCTCAGGATAGTTATCTTTTTCTCCTTTTCTGCCTAATCTTTCTCTCATGTCTTGGCTGACATTAGCATGTACTTTTATTCACATTTTTGATATTATTTCAATACTTTTTTATTTGTTTTTAGGTAAAATTTGGTAATACTACCTTTAAAACAGATGTGTACCTCAAGTCACTCAACCCTCAGTGGAACTCAGAATGGTTTAAATTTGAGGTAAGTTTTTAAACATCAGTTTTTTTAGTGTGGTTTTTTTTTTTTTTTTTTTGGTATCGAGGATCGAAATCAGGACCTTGCGCTTGCCAGGCAGGTGCCACTGAGCTAAATCCCTGGCCCTAGTGTGGCTTTTTTTTAAGTGATCCCTTTCCTCCAGGAATGATAAGAGTACCTTTTACTTCAGGTATAGTAGTTTTTCTACATCATAAAAGTTCTTTTTTTTACTTCTTTAGGAATATTGAATCTTTAAAAAATTCTAGTTAAGAAAATACAGTATATGATGAAAAATGGGAGCCCTGGGCCAGGGATTTAGCTCAGTGGTGCCATGCCTGCCTGGGAAGTGCAAGGTCCTGAGTTTGATTCCTGGTACCAGAAAAAAAAATGGCAGTCTTCAAGTCAAATATATTATTGCAGTTTTTAACATATACCAAAAATCACTTAAGAACAGGACACAGATTTATAGTTTTTTGGGCATTTGTACCCTTTAGTTAATATGTTTATAGAAGTTAAAATGGGCTACGTATTCTAAAAAAAACAAAACAAAACACTTCAGGTTCAAAAGCACTGCTAAACTGAAATCTCAGTTTACACAAAAAAAGTATATCTCATTGTGAATCAGAATATTAGTTGGCAGTAGCCACTTTTATATTTATTATTTCAAAGTGGAATATGACTGTGTTTCTCAAAAGAATGATCTCACTAGAGTAACTTCCCAATCCATCAGTAATTTTTGCCCAAAGGTTTCCAGCCAGATAAATCTCTGAGGAAAATAATTTCCAGTTTCCATTAACTCCAGCTCCTTTAAAAATGGAGTTCCGTTTTGTCTGCTAGAACAGTGGCCTGGAAGCTGATGAATTATTTTTAACTACCTTTGAGATAAGCTAAAAAAAAAAATTGGACATATGTGAATGGACTTTTTCCATTGATCTGTCTATATGTCTCTTCTTATGCCATTACCATATTGTTTTGATAACTGTAGCTTTGTAGCAAGTTTTGAAATCAGAAAGTGCCTCCAATTTTATTTTCCTTTATGTGTTTAGTTGATTTTTGTTTTGATTTTCTATATTTTTTTCCTCTGTATATGTACAGATTCTCTTTTTTAGGCTGTTCTGAAATACATTTATATATTTTAGCAAAGCATGGTGACACATGCCTGTAATCCCAGCACCTGGATTCTGAGGCCAGGAGTGTTGCCATGAGTTTGAGGCCAACCTTAGCAACATAGTGAATTCAAGGCCAGCCTAGACTACATAGCAAGACCCCCTCTCAACCCTCTCCCCCCACCAAAAAAACCCATTATGTATTTTGAAAGATCCATTGTTAATAGATGTTTTCAATCTACTATGTCATTTTGAACTGTATTACTATATTAAGGTAAAAATGTGGACTATAAGAACTAGAGAAAGTAAGCAGAGTACTTACATGATTTCAGATGGAATTCCAAAAGTCCATCTATTGCCCTAGAAAAACACTTGAATGCCTACACAGGTTTACTTTGACGCCTTCCCTCTGAAATGGTTAAAACAAGCAGTCTTTAGTAGTTAATTACATTGTTATTAGAATTGTAGGAGGAGGAAGGCTTCGTGTGTTGGAATAATTTTCATGAAACTGATATTTTGGAAAATGACATGGAGAGCTGAATGTGGCATCCACTTGTAATCCCAGCACCGTGGGAGGCTGAGGCAGGAGGATCACAAGTTCCAGCTCAGCTTGAGCAACTTAGAGACCCTGTCTCAAAATAAAAAAGGATTGGGGAATGCAGCTCACTGTGAAGGCCCTGGATTTAAATTCCAATAGTGGAAAAAAAACATTGGCTTTACTCATGATACAGTACTGGTAATCTTTATGGCTAAAGAGTACTCAAGTAGCTTATTTAAAAATATAAAAGCTAATATATTTATACTTTTCGAAAGTAAGGGATTTTTGTAATGCTAGTGAGTTTTAAAAATTAAAGTTAGAGTCATTTGCCTTAAAATTTAGTAATTTTTGACTAGTGCTCTAACAATAGTGTATGTGGTGTGAAAAATGTGCTTCAATTTTGCATTTATGGTTAACATTAATTATAAAGTTCTCTTTTTAACCTTGTTTGAACACTCAACTAAATGTCATAAACAAAATAGGCATTTGTTTTTTGTTTTTTTTTTCATGTAAAACAAATGTTGACCCAGGCAGTATAAAGCTAGCATGGTAGCTCCCTGTAGTCCTTTTGGACCCAGTGACCCTTCTTTTTGCTTCATTATCCACATGTGAGAGGTCTATGGCTTATCTTTAAAGTGTCTCAGGGTTGAGTTAGGTTCCAGGTTAGCAGCTGGTGTTCTAGGGATCATGTCTGTTTTGCAGGCTGGCATCAGGAGCTAGAATAAAGGGGAGTATAGGTGGGAGCAGAGTGTTAACATACTTTTTTTTTGGTTTTGTTCTCTGAGACAGGGTCTCACTGTGAAATTCAGGATAGCCTCAAACTCACTATGTAGCCCAAGCTGGCCTCAAATTCAGCGGGATCCTCCTGCCTCAACCTCTCGAGTGCTGGGATCACAAGCGTGCACCACCACACCTGACCTGGATACACAACATACATTTTTTAGCTGAGCAAGAAAGACCTTAACTTTTTCTCTACCCTCCTAAACTCTATGTAATGTTTATATTTTTCCAGTTGCAAGAGAGGCTAGGAAATACTGTCTTTGAGTGAAACATTCTGCTAGGTAGCTACAAATTTAAACATTTAAAACATTTTTAAGGAAGACTTTGTTGACTAGGTAGCAAATGGAACCAAGCCTCATGCATGCTAGCCAGTTACTTGGCCACTGAACTTTGGCCTCAGGCCTTAGTTACACCACTCTTGTCCATATTTTAATCTCTGTGCGTCAGTGCTTAGAAATAAATCTGTAAGATTCCTTTTTTAGAAATAAGTCACTGTTTTTACTTGGTTATAATTTGTGGTGATTAAAATTTTAAAACTACAAGATTTAATGTCAAGCTTTACTTTTAGGTGGATGATGAAGATCTGCAAGATGAACCTCTGCAGATCACAGTTCTTGACCACGATACTTACAGTGCAAATGATGCCATTGGTAAAGTGTACATTGATATCGATCCTCTACTGTATAGTGAAGCTGCTACAGTCATCTCAGGATGGTTTCCAATTTATGACACCATACATGGTAAGGAGTAATATTTTAAGAAAGGAAATGACAATTTTAAATCTCCTGTTTTTATCCTTAAAGACCTTTGTGCTATATTTGGTGCTTTTAAAATATGTATCTTTAAAAGATGACTTTTAAAAGTAGATAAGAGCATGCCTGTAAATCCAGCACTCTGGGAGGCTGAGGCAGGAGGGTTGCAAATCCAAAGCCAGTCTAGGCAACTTTTGAGCTGTTGGTTGATCCTGTCTCAAAAAAAGGGGGGATGGGTGCTAGGAATCAGTTCAATGGGATGGCCAGAAGTTCAATCCCCAGTACCTTAAAAAAAAAAAAAGTAGTAAAATATTGTTGGTAGAACTGTTACTTCTCTGAACATAAATTAATTCTTGCTAAAGTTTTGTTATATAGTAAGTAAATGCATTATTTAAAAATTATCTTGAGGGACTAGAGTGTAGCTTAGTGGTAGAATACTTGGCATGTGTGAGGCCCCGGGTTCAATCCCCAGCACTGCAAAAAAGAAAAAAAAAATTGGTACCCTGTTTCTAAAACACATTTTCAAGCTGAAAAACTAATAGTATTGATCTTGTTTTGCTTAAAATTTCCTCAAAGGCTTTTTGTTTAGGCTTTTCTTCCCAAAGTATGGTCTAACAACATGTAAGGGTCCTTGAAATACTTTCACTGCATTTGTGAGTTGAGAACTGTTTTCAGCATAATATTCATGTCATTTGCTTTTGTAAATCTCATTTTCTCACACATGTATAATGGTGCTTTGTAGAGGTTTTATACTGTAGGATATTACCAGAAGTGGAGCACAGAGCAAATAGGAGACTATCTTTCAATATTTAGACATTATAGATTTTTGCAAAAATGCAGCTGCCACTCATATCACTCAGTTTTTAATTTTTTTCTTCTGCTAGGCAACCACTGTATCACTGAGCTACGTATCCAACTTTTTTGGTTTGTTTTTGAAAATAATTATTTTTACAAAAAGTATCCTTTATTAAATTAGTTTATTACAAGTTTAAATGAAATAATAAGTAATTTTTAAAAATTACTGTTTTAAATTTTAATATGCAAATATCGATAAATATGAACCATATAAACAAAAATTTCATGAGTTCCTCGACCATTTTTAAGGTCCTAAAGGGCTTATGTGACCAGAGTTTGCCAAGCCCTTGTCTAATTGTATAATGTCTCTTTAGAATGATGAATGGACCTGTTCGGAACTGATATTTGTCTCTCCCTCCTTGAAATCTGTGCCATTTTTTACATTTCTGATCCAGCAATTTCACTGATAGGAACAGATAAGATGTTTATAATAAAGTGTTTGCAGAGGTTTACAAATGTTTATTGTGAAATTATTAATATTCTATTTATTAACATTCAAAAAGATAAAACAAGTTGAAAAACAGGATTTATTTAAACAAATTAGAGCATATATATCTCCTGAGTTTGCAGTTGGAAAAAAGAGCATGTTTTCAGAAAACTGAAGCAAAGAATGTATATGATATATTATCAATAGCAAAATTCATGTTATGAAACATTATATGATCTCAAAGTTGTATAGAACCAAAATAATTGCATATTATTTTGGTATCGTTGGAGACATTGGTAGAATACACGATTTTGACCCTTTTAACCCTGGATAATTTTCTTTTTGAGACAGGGTCTTGCTATGTAGTTTACGTTGGCCTTGAATTGGTAGCCCAAGGTAGCATGAGACTCATTGAGATCTTCCTGCCTCAGCCTCTTGAGTGCTGGAATCACAGGTCTGTGCCACTGTGTGTGGCAATAGCTTCATTTCTGGATTGCAACTCTATTCTTTGTCCCTTTTGCTTTTTCCCTTATTTTCTACAAATTGTATGTATTACCTTTGTAATCAAGAAATAAAAATCCAGCAGATGTTTTGTTACCAATTTTAAAAATATGCTGTAGGACTTGGTGGTATGCATCTACAATCTCAGATGCTCAGGAGGCTAAGACAGGAGGATTGCTTGAACCTAGGAGTTTAAGGCCAGTCTAGGGAATATAGCAAAACCCTGTCTCAAAAATGAGTGAGTGGATGAATAAGTAAGTAAAAATGCTGAAGAACTAATCCTGGCTTGCATTAAAGGCAATAAATAGCTATCTGAATGAATTTCCCAGCCATTTAATGTTAAATGTTGTTTATAGCTGGTTTAATATGTTTATGTACTCTTCATTAGGAACATAACAGTAGATCACTTTTCTTAGGTGTTCCACCATAAGTATGAATTTGATGTGAAGTCAGGATGATCAAGTGAAAATGTTTAGTAAATGTTTAGAGGTAAGGGCATGTTCTGAAACTCTTATTCTAGGAATTTTAAAATTTTAATTTACATTCATTGAAATGAATAAAACTTCTCTTGTTGTTGATCAGAATCTTGCATTAATTGTATTAAAAGTATATAGTCTGGGCTCATAAAGGTCTGACTTTTAATCCTGGCTCTGCCATTAGCTAGCTATCGACACTACATAAAGCTGATGTGATCACTGAGATGCTATATATAAAACTTTTAGTGCATCATCTGTTACTACTCAATAAATGTTATCACCATCATCATCCTCGTAAATTTAAGTGGGATTTCTTTCCAGTTAGTCTTGGCTCGAATAAATGGAGGCTTATGATAATTGGCAGTTATTCATTCTCTTGTGCATATATATTCTGCTTCAGAAAACGTAACAAGGAAATTTCTGAAAATGAAAATAATGAAACAAAAATTATGATTAATACATTATTTTAGAATCATTAATTGCTATTGATTTGCTTTATTATTTAATTGTACATTGTTTTTGTAAGGCGGTAGGTAACTTGATTTTCCCTTTGATTATCTAGGTATCCGTGGAGAAATCAATGTGATTGTCAAAGTAGACCTCTTCAATGATTTAAATAGATTTAGACAGTCATCGTGTGGAGTCAAATTCTTTTGCAGTAAGTAAATACATTGTCTTATTTTACAGGAAATTTAACTATTTTTAAATACAGAAAATCAAATTGACATTTCAGAAGGCTAGTAGAAGAGGTGTTGTACTTTGGTTTAAATGCCAAAGAGAAAATAAAAAATTTTCCAATAATAATTGCTGTAGCTTTGTGGCTGTTTGATTTGAGAGTAAACAGTATCTAATTTGTACAAGTATTTGGGAATTTGGGTTAGAAAATTTCAGTGAACCAAGTGTGTGGTCCATGCCTGATATCCCTACCCTCTGAGAGACTGAGGCAGGAGGGTTTGTATGTACCAATTTCTTCCCAATCAGTGTATTTATTATATATGGCAAAAATATACTAATAAAAAAATGAGGGGAAAAAATGGGCTGAGAATGTAGTTCAGAGTGAAGGCCTTGGGTTTAATTCCTAATATCTCAAAAAGAAAAAAAAAAGAAATCTAACGATATTTTACCATAGTACAGAATTCTGCAGCATAGGAGCAGAACACTGTGACCAAGCACTGTGGTTTTAACCCATGTTATGTGGGCTTCTATAGGAATGAGGGCCCAAGAACTGCACGATACAAATAAGTCTGAATTGGGCGTGATCGAGGCAGCTCACAGTTGAAAAACCCTAAGTAATGAGTTAAGTTTCAGTGCACAAATGTGTTTTAGAGACTAGTTTGGTATAGATGTTTTTCTCATGTTGTACTGTCATTAAATCTGACTAGATCTTATTTAGATAATGATATTTTGATTTAAATGAGTCTTCCATGACCACATATTAAATGAGACTATGGAGTCTGTACTAACTACAGAACCAGCTGGCTCTATGATCAAGGATTATTAAAAACTGCAGTGTTGTATAATTCCTTGGGTTATGTCAGAAAGGTAATGGTTTGGTATTTGTGGTATGTGTACCACAGATGTGATATGTAGAAGAACTTTTGTGAAGAGCTTTGAATAATTGAAGGTTTAAAAAAAAATTCATGATCTGGTTTCTGCCTATTGATGTATTTAGCTAGCAGACTTAAATAGTTTTGAATTTTCTTTTCTTGCTGTGTCCTTGGGGAATGATTTTTTTTCTCAGTACATGTTTGTGGTACATAATGAATGCATTCATTATGTGTAGTTGGTGCATGTATATAATACATTTTAATTCTTTATATATCCTCTTCTCTGCCCGCCTCCCTAATCTTTTGGTCCCCTTCCCATTTACAAAAGATCTATCTCTGTGTTTCTTATTTTGCTCTTTATTTATACTTTGGGTTTCTCATATAAGAGAAACTATATGATATTTAAGTTTATGTGTCTGATTTATTTCACTTAGTGCATACATTTTCCTACAAATGACTCAAATTTATTTTTTGTTGTTTTGGTACTGGGGATTGAACTCAGGACCTTGCACTTGTGAAGCAGGTGCAGTGCCACTGAGCTAAATCCCTGACCCTCAAATTTATCTTTGTTTATAGCGAAGTAGTATTCCATTATGTATAAATACCACATTTTCTTATTTTTTCGGTACTGGGGATCAAATATACCACATTTTCTTTATCCTTTCAAGATTTAGCTATTATTAATTGTGCTGCTATAAACAATGAGTATTCATGTATTACTGTAATATGATGTCTTTAAACTCTTTCAAGAAGATACCTAATTGAGCAATAGCTGCATTGAATTGAATTTCTGTTTTTAAATTTTTGAGGAATCTCCATACTGATTTCCTTAATAATTGTACTCCTTTAAATTCCTAACAACATAGAAGGCTTCCTTTTTCTCTAGCAGCTGCTCCAGCATTTTTTAGCTGATAAATATAAAAATTGTATAGATTTATAGGATACTATGTGATATTTTGAGTAATTTTGATTTTTTGAACTTCATATTTATGTAAGATCCATATCTGTTTTCTAAATTATAACAATACAATTTATATTTGTTGTGCTTGCATAACAAAAGTGAGTACTCATGAAAAAGAAGTGTTTCTAAGCATAATGAATCTTAGAAGACTATTTGATTGGAAGTATTATAATTACATTGAGATTGTCATAGTAGAAGGTGTTCCTTGTGTATCCAAAAGGTCAGAACTTAGAAGTACATTTTTAAAAATTAAAACTTAACTTTGTGATAAAAGTGTAATAGATAATTTGTTTTAACAGCAACATCTATACCAAAGTGCTACCGAGCTGTAATAATTCATGGATTTGTAGAAGAACTGGTGGTCAATGAAGACCCAGAGTATCAATGGATTGATAGAATTCGCACACCAAGGGCATCAAATGAGGCCAGACAGAGACTCATTTCTTTAATGTCAGGTATTTTTTTTTTTTTTTGGTACTGGGGATCGAACTTGGGTCCTTGCACTTGCGAGGCAGGCGCTGGAACCACTGAGCTAAATCTCCGGCCCTAATGTCAGGTGTTTATTTAAAATAACTTCATTGATGATTGACAGTATTCGTAAATTTTTCACTTTTCCTTTGGTGAGCTGCATGGAATTTCACAATGAAAGTTATGAATTATAAGTGACTAAGCCCCTACCCCTGGCCCAATCCTAATGAACACTTGTAACAGGTAGAAATCAAAAACAGAAATTTGTAGTCCCTTCTTATTTAAGAAGCGAAAGGAAATTGTATTCATGAAATAAGACAGTGGAGTAAGGAGCCCTAAGTAGGAAACTGGATCCTAGTATTCCTAGCATTTATTTGTAGTCAGAACTTTGATAAATTATTTATTTCTGTCTGTAATAATCTCTGTTCAAAGGTTACTTTTTCACAGTTCTTTCTTTGAGAACTTATTTATATCTTCCCTCTACCCTTTCAGCCCCCTTCCTTGCTACTGTTACCTCATTACATTTCCTTAGTCTTATTTGGACAACTCATTTACCACCTAAAATTTGTATTTATTTGTGTGTATGTGTGAAAATACCTTCGCATAAGATGTAGAAGTATAAACGTTATTTTTAATAAATATGTATTTGGAGTCTATATTTCTGTTATATAATATGTGCATATGTGGTGTGTGATAATAGATTTATGTTGTATATATTTTAAACTTTCTAGATATGAAATACATGTATTTACTTTCTTAGTATCATTTTGTCCCACCAGTCTTATCAACTCCACTAGATTTGGAGTTTTATCCTTCTTGTTTACCTGTATATCTGCAGCACTTAGAAGAAGGGAAGAAGGGCTGGGGATGAACTATGTGGTAGAGCACTTGCCTAGCATGTGTAAGCCCATGGGTTTCATCCGCAGTACAGAGAAAAATAAAAAAGGGAAGAGTGCCAGCCTATAGTACAGAACCAAAAAGTATTTGGGATATGAGGTGCATGAATGAGTGAACCTTACTTGCCACATCTATAAAATACAGCTAATGATATCCTGGCCCCCTGAAAGTAGGAGGCTGGACAGATAACCTCTTAAGTTTCCATCAAGTTCTAAAAATCTATGATTTTTAAGCATGTTTTCTATCACTGTCATATAGTATGTAATGTAGAGATATGAGGCAAAGAATGAGTTTTCTTTATTGTTTATAGGTGAACTGCAGAGGAAGATTGGCCTGAAAGTACTTGAAATGAGAGGAAATGCAGTTGTCGGGTACTTACAGTGTTTTGATCTGGAGGGAGAGTCTGGGTTAGTGGTACGAGCCATAGGAACAGCGTGTACTCTGGATAAATTAAGTAGCCCAGCAGCATTCCTTCCTGCATGTAATTCCCCATCCAAAGAAATGAAGGAGTAAGTATGCATCAGTAAAATTGTTCTTAAAAAGATTTTTATGTTACCTATACATTTTCATTTGATTTTCAACATTTTAGTAGTTTTGTTCAACATACATTTTTTCTATTATGATTTTTCTTATCAGAGATGACTTCCAAAATTTAAAACTTAAAAATATTTAGATATTCCTAATGTTTTATTTATACTGTCAATATGAAATACAAATTAAGTAATGTGAAATTAAACTGTTTCAGATCCTCACACATTATATATCTAAAGCAGTAAATGAATATTCATGTGCTGTGTGGAATTTTACTTATTTTCTAGGGAATGAGTAAAATCCTGTGTGCGATAATCCAGTTATGTTTACTTTTGGGACTGTAGTGTAGAGAAGAGCAAGAATTCAAGAATGTCAATTATGCAGGAGTCTCAAACACAAATGTGTACAGAGGCCAAGCAGCTTATAAAAATACCGTAGTTAAATAGGAACACTAGGATCCGTGAAAAGTTGAGGTTGGCAAGTTTTTCTTTTCTTCTCTCTCTTCCTCCTTCCCTTTCCTCTTTCCCTCTCTGCCTCACTCCTTCCCTTCTTCCTTCTTTCCTCTTCTTTTCTCCCATTCTTCTTTTTTTGAGAGAAAAGTCTATGTTACCCAGGTTGGTCTCAAACTCTTGGACTCAAGCATTCCTCCTGCCTCAGTCTTCCACGTTGTCAGGATTACAGGCACATACCACTGCACCTGGCTCAGCAAACTTTTCTTTAAAAGGCCAGATAGTAAATATTTCAGGCACTAGTCATACCACCTCTGTCTTTACTTACCTAAACAAAACACAACACAAGTTTGATGATCCATTAATCCAAAGTGATCATACACTTAAAAAACAAAGTATAAACACCATCATTAAAAAGAAAAAAGCTGGTACAGTAAAACATTTCTTTTGGTTGCTTTTGGTCTGAGTGTCGTTTGTGTCAAAGGCAGAGACTTTCAGTGTGTTGGTGATAGTATAGTTTGAGTATTCCAAATCTGAAAATTTAAAATCTAAAACTTTTTGAGTGCTGATACTCAAAAGCTTTTGAATTTCAGGCATTTGGATTTTGGATTTAGATTAGGAATACTCAACTGAAAAAAAAAATCTGAAAAACTTTGATTTAAAGCATTTTGAATATGTGCTGCTCAATCATATTGTCAACACAATGTTTGAAACAGGATTTTTCTGTGATAATTAGGTTGATTAATCATGTCAGTGACCAGAGATTTGGACTAAGCTATGCAGCAAGGAGCAGCTCTGTACAATGAAATCTTACTCCACTGTAAATGCCATTAGTGCTTCATTGAGGATCATTGATCTAGAGAACTTGCAGTGAAAGATTGACAAGCTTTTTCTGTAAATAACCAAGTAGGACAGATAATTTAGCTTATGCTAATGCTAGTGTATTGTAGTGCAGTAGCCATCAGAGACAGTATGCAAGCTAATGAGTGTGGCTGTGTTCCAATAATACTTTATTCACGAAAATGATGGCAGATGGATTTGGCCTGCAGGTTGTAGTTTTCTAATTCCTATTTTAGATCACTAGGGAGTCAGATGTGTAGTCTGAAAACATAAAACATTTCCCAATTCAGCAATAGTCAGAAGAAATTGTGTGGAAAATAATTATAAAATTATTTTTATTATAAAATTATATAAATTATAAAAAATTTTATAATCTTTTTAAAAAATTCATTTTTCCTTTTTACATTAAAAATATTCTTTTTCTTTAACCATTTCCTTTCTGCTTGCCTTCAGTCGTTGGGGTTAAATTTTATGACAGGGAGCACAGTATTGCATATTGCCTAATTTTATTTAGAAAGACACAGACAAGGGAAATAATTTTCTAAAATAAATTGAAAAGTGAATTTGTTTTATGTTCAGTTTAAAATATGTCCTGGAAAAATATGAACTGCCACCCACTACAGGTAGAGTCAGATTGCAGGTATAACTTTTTGAGGGATTTATATTTTCCTTTATGCTCTTTCTGTAGTAAATTTAAGTAAAGAAAGACCTGGAGTCTCTACTTGCCACCCTCTAGCTTCACCTACACTGCCTGAAAGGGCCTGGCTTGTGCAGCCGAGATGTCTGAAGTTCTCTTTCCATTAAGTTATTTAGTGGAAAGATAAAGCTGTATTACCTGTTGGTATCTTAGAATGAAATATGAATAGCAGGGGAATAAGTTTCACATGCATTCACATTAATGTAAACCTTCGTTTATGTAAATTTTCTCCTTTTTAAATTTTGTCAAAGCTATTTGCTTTAAATTGTCCAACATTTTGAATCGAATTGAAGTTGCTTTATTATGATTTTTTGAATGACATCTTAATACCTGTGTCTTGTTTAGGAAAACTCAGTATGCAGGCTGCTTCAATTGGCTTTGTTGTTTTTTTGATAGTGAATCAATTTGGGTGCTGCTTTAAAACTTATTTTATGATTTTGCTGATTAATCTGGCATTATAAAGTTGAGTTTTAGATAGGAATTTGATAAAAAAAATAGTGTAGATTAGATTTAATAGATTACCTGAATGAATTATATATTAGAATGGATGGAATAGATTTAATATTAGGAATCCACGAGTGTATTATTGTGAGGCCACCTTTCATGAAAGAACTAATAGATTATGATAATGTTTCAGTGTATTTGAATTTTAATTTGGTGTCATAATTTGAACATTTTGCAATTTTCATTTTATTTTACTTATATTAATGATGTGTTGTACTTCATAAGTTTGTTTCTTCCTTTTAGGTGTTTAGTGTAATACACAGTGTACATCTCTTTGGTGTTTCCTAGGTGAACTGTGTTGGTGGTAGGAAGTGTGTTAAGTGTGGTTTATCACTTCTCTACTTAAAAATGCTTTTTAAGAGCGTTTACCAGTAATTTCTCCTATGTACAGCACTGATTCTGGATTTCTTACATATTAAACTTTTTATTGCTTTAATATATGTGCTGTTGACGCGAGCACAAACTTTTTCTTGCTTTAGCAGGGAAACAAATAAAACCTTACTCAGTTTATAGAAAAATAAGAAACCAATAAGATAATTTAATAATAATAGTTTAATTTTTATCGGTCACACTTTACATATTTTTAATGTATATTATTGATAAAAACAGAAACATTTGTCCTATTGTAGATCAATAATATTTTCAGAAAATAGTCTCTGGAGCCTAGGAAACCCTTTGTGGCTCATGAGTGACAACTCATGTTTGAGCCGTGACAGATTGGTGGGAATGTGCCCTATGCAGTCAATAGTAGAGCCATGGAAAATAAGCTAAGAGGCCAGGAAAAGTTGGGTTCAAAGCCTGTCTTCCATTTGGTGATATCATAGTTTACTCACATGTTTTTTCCCCTACATTGTACATAAACAAAGACATTGCACAGGGAGTTAGTTGCCACAATGAAGCTCAGGATTCTTATTTATGTAATATACTTTTCCCCATAGAAAAATATAATTAATTCTATCAGCAATCCATATCTTAGTTTCAAAGGTAATATGAGAATTTTATATCTGACTTTTCACCTTTATGGGTGTTTTTCTCCATGAATACTATACAGTAAGTTCTATTTTTATGAAAACAATATCAAATATGTTAAAGCAGTTTAGAATCCAGATCTTAATATTTTGTCTTATTTAATTCCATAGACTATTCTGCTTGCTATTTTTCTTATTCACAGTCCTGATTTATTAATCTAATTCTTGATAACTGTTTTAACAAATTAATATTTAACTTTTCTCAATTTCAACTTATTTTTGCATGCTAGGGTTTATAAAAAGTTCTCTCCCTTAACTAAAGCTCCTTGGAAATTATTTTAACATAACTTTGCAATCTGTTGTATATATTGTTTTCTCTTCTTCCACTTTGACCACAAATTCCCTCAGGTCTCCGCTGGTTCATCCTCCAAGCCTTGGATGTCGCTCGACTCAAAACAGCCCAATTCACACTGCTACTGGCTCACGACTTACTCAGAACTTCTCTGTGTCTGTTCCCACTCTCATCTATACTGGTACGAGACTCCAGAGCTGGGGAGAGGCAGGCCACGGGCAGAGTGGTTGCAGAGGCAGGGAGGCAGGTAGTGTAGGCAGGTACCACAAGTGTTTGCTTTTTCCTTTTCTTATTCAAAGTACAGCTGCAGTGAACAACTTGTGTATTTAGCCACCACAGAGGCTCAAACTGTATGGAAGTGAAATTATTTTTCCAGCTTCCAAAGTCTCTTCCACAGATCCTCTCAGAGCCCTGTCTTATATCTTGTATATGGTGAGTTTTGAGGAGAATCCTTCAATATGTGTTTCTGTGATTCTTTCTGCATTTATATAGAAATAAATTGACAATAAGATGCTAAATGAAATAGACACCAAGGCTTCCAATTTGCTAATTTTCTTTGTGTACAAAGCCTGTTACAGTAGGTTCTGTTTAATTCTGTGGAAGAGAGCTGTTGGAAAACAGGTAAGCAACTGTTTTGCATTTAATGCAATGTTTCTGTGTAGCTATGTTTATTTTACTTTTTGCTGTGTTTTTAGCTGTGGCACTCTTGATGCTATAGGATAAGGAAACATTTTTTCTTTCCTTTAAAGATACTTGTCTGTGTGTGTGCAAATACAAACAGTATTATGACTATTTTCACACACCATTTGTGGTCATCATTTTTCTTTTTGTAACTTAAAAACATTTACTTAAACTATTTTGTCATATATTTACACTTTATTTCTTGTTTTAATATGTTTTATTCTCTTAGTCTATCATTTCATGCTTTTTTGCTTTTCCCTTGGCTTATTAACTGTTTCAATGCAGATAATATTTATCTGGAGAATGCTGAATGGTTAAACAGCAATTGGTTGTCTTTGGCCTCATTCCCAGCTCCACACATAAGAAATGACTGCTGGCCCTGCCCCGATACTTTCCTGGTGTTTGGATCATGCTGCCAACTGTCAGGCCCTTTGGCACATGATTACTTAATATTTTTCCACCTTCTTCTGGCAGGATTCCCTTCAATGAAGATCCCAACCCCAATACTCACTCATCAGGACCCTCAACCCCTCTGAAAAACCAAACTTATTCCTTTTCACCTTCCAAGTCCTACAGTCGACAGTCCTCTTCTTCTGACACAGATTTGAGTTTGACACCCAAAACTGGTAAGGCGCTTCCACCCACCTTTTGTTTTTGGTTTTTGTTTCCTATTAGCCTTCCATCCAAATCTTTCCTTCCGTTTTTGGCATTTAAGATAAAAGATGATGTGAATAGTGATCATTTTCAGTTATGACAGTTAAAATATGAAAATTGTGTATAGTTCAGAAATTGTTTGGAGATCAAGATTTTGTTAGCTTAATCTAGTGTAGGTATCAAATCCAAAATTTATTTTTGTGTGTGTAAGACATTTTCATTTCATGCTCAAATTAAGAGGAATAACATCTTAAAGCATTTGAATAAAAAGTAATACCCGGGGGCCGGGGATTTAGGTCCGTGGTTCCACTGCCTGCCTCAAGCGCAAAGTCCTGAGTTCGATCCCCGGTATCCAAAAAAAAAAAAAGTAATACCCACTAGCTTACAATTAAATTCTTCTTGAAGAGTAAACAGCTTTTAATTCATTGTTTCTGTCCATTTCTGAATTTAATTCTAGAATTTTATTATAAAAACGTCTCAACTGATATGGTTACCCTTGAGTATATCTCTTCATCTGTTTTACAGTATTTAAAATATACGGTATTGTGAATCTTATTCTCTAGGTTATCTTGAATATTTTTCAATTTATTACATTTATAATTTTTTCATGCTCCCATTTATATTTTTATGAATAGTCTTTGTGGGGTGTTAGGAATATGTTCTATGATAAAAGTTGGTAAAAATTTAGTTTTTTATTCCCTAAAACAGAGCTAACTTATTTAAATTACTAAATTAATTTGAAAAAAATTTGAAAGAAATTTAGAAATTTGAGATTTTGTGATTTATAATTTTTTTAAGTAGTATTTTGCTATGCAGTCCCCATCAGATTGATTAAAGCATAGTTCTTATTTGTGTTTTAATTTTATCATGTTTAATAACATTTTTGTGTTAGAAAAGACATTTTAAAAATTATCCCAGATTTTGTAAAAAGAATGAAAAGAAATCTGATTCTAAATCAGGACTTTCTAGAGGAAGAGCCATAAGAAAAGTCCATCCACTTAATTTCTATTTTTTTTATAAATGTGATAAACCATTCAAACTGAAGTAAAAGTTTTTCAAAATAAAGAGTGAGAGACTTTGGCCTTAATATCCATGATAGAACAAGAAAGACTTGGGATACTATTTGGGGAATCAGTTTTCTCAAAAATATTTTTGAGGCTATGGTCCGGTCCACTGACTATATTCCAGGCCACTATTTGATATTCTTAGTGGTTTTTGTGCCACATCGCAGATAGTTTTGAATGTATTTCCGTAGTCTCTCCCTTTCTTTCTTTCCTTTTTCTTAATTTTTTTCTGCTGTCTCGGCCTCTCTCTCTCTCTCTCTGTCTCTGTCTTTCTTTTTCTCTTTCTTTCCCTTTCCTCTGTCTCTCACAGTAGTGGGGATTGAACCCAGGGCCTTCTCAATGAGCTGTATCCCTAGCCCTTCATTTTATTACTTTATGTTGTTTTTTCTTTTGTTTTGGTACCGGGGATTGAACTGGGGACCTCGTGCTTGCGAGGCAGGCGGCGGCACCACTGAGCTAAATCCCCAGCCCTATTTTATGTTTTTTAGTTTTGTGGACAGGGTCTATCTAAGTTATCCAGGCTGGGCTACTACCTGTGGTCCTCCTACCCCAGCCTCCTAGAGTGCTGAGATTACAGGTGTGCAACACCGTATTTGGCTCTTTGGATCTTTTTCTTTAATTTGCAAAAAGGCCAAACCTAAAGAAGTTTGTGAAGTAATAAAGCAAATCAAACTTCTTATCCCTTAGCTTACTGATCAGCAATCAATTTATTAACAATGAAAACTTGTATTATTGCTTATTAAAAACTCATTTACAAATATTCTCATGTATTTATAAACTGCCTCCAAATATATTGTTTTGTTTGGCTATAGTTAAATTATTAGTAATAATAAATAAATTAAATATTAGCCTCAGTAATAAATAAAATATTAGCCAGTTTTAGTCTCTTGACCTTTGCATGAATCTTAAGATATTTTTGAATAGTTCTGAAGAACATTTCTACTTCTCTTAGAAATACAAGATGGCAAAATCAGAATTGTTTTTGGATTTCTAAAATTGTAACTCAGAATGTACATCAAGATTCTTTTTTCTAACATACCTACTTATGAAATTAGTATCTTGAGAAATAGTGGAGAATGAGATAAGCTGATTATAGTTGAATTTATTATTTGTAAACTGGGAAGCTAAAATAGAACCAAAGTAATAAAGCATAGGGTGAGAAAGTTGGTTTTTTCTTTGACTTTTTATGAGATTTTATATTTTTTCCCAAGTACTCAAGTAATAGCAGAATTTTTGAATGTTAGTATTAAAATACTGATGTGACACTAATTAGACCTAAATTTGACTCTTGGTCAGGTTGTTCACCATATATAGTTTTTCTCTTGCATAAGATATTTGACCCTGAGAGTATTCAAATCTCTGTAAATGCTAATAGTTCTATGATTGGTATGGAAAGTTTTAGAGGAAAAAGAAAATATTAATATACATCTCAAAGCTGCAGAGAAAGAAGTTAATATTTACTTTAATAATAGTAATTGTCTACCTAGTGTGATACTCAGTGTTTGATCTTTTAAAATAGCATTCAATTAAAACACCCAGGAGTGTATCTTTTAGCCAGTAAAATATGAAGCTATTGTACTTTACCACTTTACATAAGTATTTGTACTATATTTGAGACAAGTTTCTAACATTTTTAAAATGTGGTATATTTTAACCTCATGAATTTTTAAGAAAGAGTAGGTAATTTAAGTATTTTGAAGCAGTTAAAAGTGCTTAAAATGGCATGAAGTCCTGCGTTAGTGATTTTAAAAAATTTAATGCAGAACTTGAAAAGGTTTTCATTAAATGGTGCCTTTCATGTACATTATGTTGGGTAGATGGTTTTCTAGTGACTCTCGATATGCTTAGTGTAATTTGTCTGTACATTTTAAAAATTACTTTTACTGTTATATTTTGCTTCATCGTGGCTTTCCTTATCGTGCATTTTCTGATCATCTTCTGAACTTGCATCTTTTCTCTGCCAATTTCCTCCACAGCACCTTACCCACAGGGACCTAGGATTTACCTGTGTCCCAGCTCCCCCTCTCTCTCTTGTGGTTCCCTTCATCTTAAAAAGTCCTGTGTCCTCCTCTCGGAATCTAGCCTTCCCCCTCATCATTCTAGCCTTGTCAGCCCAGTTCTGAGGAAAAGTGTTTCTTTCAGTGAAGAGCTGCTCCTGGCTGCTTCTGGTAGGATCATATTATGTCAGCTTTTTAACCCCTTAATTTTAAATCATCTTTAAAAAACTTATTTCCTACTAAAATGAACTATTGCTTGTTTTCTATTAAATTTCTATTAATTTTCTTACTGGTAGGCAGAGTTAAACAGAATTAAAAGGATACAATTGAGAACTACTTGATTGATAATTAGTGAGTATTTGCTAAATTATTTATGCATGAAAAATTTTATGGCTAAGGACATAAATCTGGATAGTTACGACAGTTATTTAGGTTCTTATTACTAGCATTTCTGCTTTAGTTGCTTTACTTTCTTTCTCTTCATACAACTCCATTCACTTTAGACCTGTACCATCTTGTTGCTAAACCATATGGTTAACATTAGTAAATTATTCTGTTTGAATCAGTTTAAGTCTCCTTTTGGTGCTATTCTTTCATTATCCTTTTTTTTCTGTCTACTGCATTAATTAATCAAATTATTCTGCTATATTTTCTGATATTTTACTTATCACTACAAATTTATATTTTATTTTGTGGCTTTTAATATGCTTCATATAAAGAATTTAGTTTTATTTCTGTTTAGCATTATATAGTCTCTAAAAATAATGTTTAGATTACTATAAGAAAAATAAATTTGTTTTGCTTTTAAAGAACAGAATGGGACTATACACATGCTAACCTTTGTTTCCTTATCCAAGAACAGCTAAAAATATAAAATTAAATTAGTTCCTTTTTAAGTGATTGCAACAGATTTGACTATGCATTTTCAGTTTCAAAAAGTGGGATTGATTCTAGTCAATAGATCATTAGCTTCTTTCCCATTCCATTTTCTGTAATTCCTGGACCATAGTTGGTCTGGTGGTACTATCAAAACAATAAAATAAGGTAAGAGAAGAAGAAATATAAAATTATACCTTAATAAATACATCTAACAGTTTGAAAAATATAATTCTTTCATCCATAACTGTACATTTGTTATGTGTCTGTTTTGTCTGTGAATTTTACTTTTAAAAAAATTATGTTGATTTTTAGAATGCATGTTGAAAAATATAAAATTAATACTGTTTAATTAAATACTATGTTTAGAAATAAGTTATTAGAACATGAATTTTCTGTGTTGCAAAATCATCTAAATTTCATTTACTTTAGAGAATTTTGAGATATATTTTAAGTGAGCAGTTAGTGCTTTTCTACACTTGATCTTACCCAAAAGGCCAAGAAGCGATTAGTGCTTTTCATCTTTATGTTTGCTTTTAAATATTTAATATTTTTCTATGTTCTTAATTTGTTAAGATAGTAATAATTATTACTTTGATTTTTTTATTAGAAGACTCAACTTCTAAAGGTGGAATATTATACAAAGATTCAGCCCCTTAGCATAACTTTGCTTATAATTCTTAAGACAAATTGAGTGTAAAACTTGCTGTCATCAAAACTTTGATCTTCTGTAGAAGTTTGTTGCTATATTAAATAATTACTTTAGTTATCATCTGAAATACTTGTGTGATTTTATCACATTTTGACTCACGATTAGGAAGATGAATGCAATTAAACTTTGTTTCTATAGTTGGTTTTTTGTTTTTGTTGTTTTGTTGTCTTTTCTGTGCCCATGTTCTGTAGGAATGGGAAGTGGTAGTGCTGGAAAAGAAGGAGGGCCATTTAAAGCTCTTTTAAGACAGCAGACTCAGTCAGCATTGGAACAGAGGGTAAGATTTACTTGATAATCTTCGTTTTTACAGTTGCTAGGATCTTATTATCTTCTGCCTCTGTGTACTTACATACTTTCATAAGCTGTTTTTGTTCATATCTGTGGTACTGCAATTTTGAACCCCAAATATATTTAAGATATCAAAATCATTTATTTATATTATTTACTTTTGGTTTGGAATTATTCTATAGCCATTTTTCTTTTGTCCTCTAATTTTTTATTAGAAATATTTTTTGCAACTATCTAATGAACATTTTTAATTTTTCCATTATTGTTATAATATAGACAAGGAAATGGCTGTTTTTGCAGAAAAAATATTCTAGTAGTATTTTATTAAAAATAATTCTGTATTATATTGATATATTTATTTGCTAAGATTATTTTTATCACTCACCGATCTCTTAAAAATAAAAAATGGGCATATTCTGTATTTCTTCAGATTAGTATGAATAATATGGTTCTATTTTAATATGTTTAATATTTAGTTACATTTGTTGACTGGGAAAATGAGTAGTTATAGTTTTGGGATGATTTCTCTCTCTCTCTCTTTTTCTTTATAAACTTCATTGCTAAGGGAGGATCACCTCATAGGTTCTGTAAACGGCGGGTATGTTTCTGAACATGTGTGAGAGCCTATTTCTTGTAGTAGAAGCTTTTCTAGTTTTAATCTTGGTCATTTACTTTTATTTATGCTTTTAACAAATGTTGCCAGCTTTTATTTTTTTTGTAATGCAACATGTAAAAAAAATTTAATAGTACTGTGAGGTTCATTCATGTTCTTTTTTGTCTTCTGCTAATATAGTGCATGATTTTATGTGCCATGTTAGTTTTTTTTGGGTACCAGGGATCAAACTCGGGACCTTGCACTTGCAAAGCAGGCTGCAGAACCACTGAGCTAAATCCCCAGCCCCCATGTCAGTTAAGACACAGTTTCATAGCTTTCAGTATGTCTGATTTGGAAGCTATAAGCATTTACAGAATTTTCTTTTATATGTTTCATTTTATACCAGCATTTGGAAGAAAAAAAGGTGAAACATAGTAAACATCTATAAAAGAATGTATTTCATAAAGTAAATGTATTTCTTTTCTAGAGTTTGGTTCTTGAGAATAGTTTTTTCATATTCTATTAAAAATAACACAGTTTTTTCTGTACTTTTTTCCTTGTGCGGAAAGTGTCCATGTATACACTATTTTAGAAAAGGCTGGAGAGAGCACAGCTGAATTAAGCAGAGCAATGAGATGTGTTACAGCATTTGTTTGCTTTATACCCTGTTCAGCAAGTTGCCTTTGAGCTGCTCTCCCATCTTGGAGGCATATCAACTACTGCCACTCAGAGGCCCAGCTAAGCATTTAGCTCATCTGTTAAAAGCGAATATAGTGAAAGATTAAAGACATGGAAGAGAAGAGGGTCAGAGTGAAGGTGTATTTCCTTTACTGTGTTTTACACTAGAATGTTCTTATCTCTGCTCCCTCCTATTTTTATGTTCTCTACTGTGTCCCTTACACTAGGATTATGATTTTTTGTAATCTAATTACTATTGTAGGATTCCATCAGCAGAAAAACTCGGGCTTGAAATTGGATATAATGGGATTTTGCCTGTATAATGTAATTTTACTCTGTGCGCTAAGAACCTTTAAAGTTATTTCACTTTCAGGGGGAAAAATTTGTAAAATTAGAATCATTTTAGATTGAGTTTGGGTGAAATTTCTGTTTTCAAATGTGCTTTTAAAAGTTCATAAAATATTGAGCATGTTAACATAATGAACATGCATTATTAGACAATCTTCATGGAATAAAGAGCAAAGATATTGCGAACAATAGTTTTTGCTTATAATTTTGTAAAACCTAAGTTTGTAACTGCCATGGTAGTGCACTGTATCATCTCCCCATGCAGCAGCAGTTACTTCAGTTTATGAGATGATGACTCTGTTCGTAATATGTAACAAACGCATTGTTATCTCTGGGTCTCACATTCGGCTGTAGCTGCCATGCTTTTGTTTTAGGAAGAGCCAGTACGGAAGTGTGACACATTTCCCCCGCATGTGTTCACATACGCCCTAATCCTGCACACTTGATCACCTCACTGAGATCTGCTTATATATTTGCGCTTGCGAGGCAGGCGCCGCAACCACTGAGCTAAATCCCCAGCCCAATATACTTTTTAAATATTTGTTTTTGTCTAAGTATTTCTGTCCTTTCATAATCACCCTTAATAAATTATATGGCTTTTTTTCCCTCAAGGAAAGAAAAACTTAAAAACTGTCTTATTTAGTAGTTTACTCAAGTTAGCAGTTCTCAAAAGTAAAGTTATTCTTTTCCTTCACAGTAAGATTAAGAAATAAATTGATAATAATAGGTACTAGATTATTGGGAGATGAAATATAGAAATAAATGTTTTACTTAGTTTCAAGTTCAGAAAAGAAAAATGAAGCTAATTTTTAGATTCTGGGGTACATATTTTTCTTCAGTAAAGAAACCTAGGTAACTAGTCAAGCACTGCACCTCTCACCTGTAATCCCAGCATTTGGGAGGCTGAGGCAGGAGGGTCACTGTGAGTTTGAGGCCACCCTGTGCTACATAGTTCAAGGCCAGCCTGAATTACATAGTGAGACCCTCTCTCAAAAAACAAAACAAAACAAAAAAACCCTAGTTAATTTAGTATTTCCCCAAAGTGTTTACTATAGAACCTCCCTTTTAAAATACCTACTCATAGGAATATCATTTGGAATAAACTGATATAAAAGCAAACTCGTGATGAATTGTAATCATTTTAGAAGTAGGGTCAGTTGTACAGTAAATCATTGTTGGAATCTGGCATGGAGTTGTTGTTTCTTTTGTGGTGCTGGGGGTTGAACCAAAGGCCGCCACAGACTAGGCAAGCACTCTACCATTGTGCTACATCCCAACCGTTTTTATTTTATTTGGAGGCCGAGTCTCCCTGAGTTGCCCACTCTAGCCTCAAACTTGGCAGTCTTCATGCCTCAGCCTCCAGAGTAGCAGAGATTGTAAGTGTGTGCCACTGGAATTTTATATCTAGAAGGTTTACTCTCTTATCTTGGGATAATAAGAGTTTTTGATTTAAAAATCCATTCGAATATCTTCTAAGGAAATTCTTAAATACTCTCTTGAAAATGATACTTTATGTTGTATTGATTTTTCATCTAGTTTGTCTTTAAGCACACACCATTAAATATTTTTATGTCTCATGCATCGGGCTTATGTCGTAGCATCAACAGGTCAGTTCCGTCTGTGGACCCAGGGAGAGATACTTTAATTATAATAACTTCCTGGAGAAAATGTCTTCTGTAGTTCTAAAATTCACATCTAACATTGAAAGTGGGGTATGCTTGGGGTTGATCGTAAGGACGCCATCCTGTTCAATGGGAAAAATATTAAGTCATCAAGTATATTAAGTGTTAAATATTTTAATCAGAATTAACAAGGGAGCCAGATTAGAAGATTTGTTGCTCAAGAAGAGCCTGAGAACGAAAGGTGCTCTTGACCTCAGTTTTTCATCTAGAGCGTTGAGATGACAGCAGCCCTCTGAAGGTACAAGAAAGACCATACGGCGTAGTTTTAAAATACCTTACACACGGGCTGGGGATTTAGCTCAGGGCACCGCGTCTGCCTCGCAAGCGCAAGGTCCTGAGTTCCATCCCTGGTACCAAAAAAACAATCTAAAATAACCCTCCACAGGGCTGGCGTGTTTGTAAGTGGGTGGTCACAGCCCCTGGTCATGGTGGTGGAGATAACAGATACTTCCTACGGTCTGCTCTAGATTCCAGCAGCCATTTTTCTAATCAGAAAATAGTCTGAAGATGGAATTTTGGTTAAGTAACAATAACATATTTATTTACTGTAGGTTAAATTCTGTGTTTTAAAGTGAACTAGTGCACTGATTATTAGTGAACTGGGAGCTTGTAAGACAGTGTTTAAGTCAGTAGTAGAGTAGACCTTCCCCTTGTAGGGTGGCTATTGCCATACAGCTTCTTCCTCTGATCAGCTCTAGTGTCTTGCTTTCCCTTTCATTCCTCTATTGAGTCTCCAGAAAATTGGCAAGAAGAGTAAAAGATCCTGAATATAACTGAGAGTGGTGGTACATGTTTGTAATACTAGCAGCTGGGAGGGCGAGACATGAGGATCATGAGTTCAAGACTGGCCATGGCTGCCTATTGAGTTCAAGGTCAGGTTGGATTACATAGCACAACCCTGTTCCAAGACAAAAGCAGGAAACAAAACAGAACAAGAATACTGAATAGAGAAATCATTCGGATTTTTTAAAAAACAGTTATCTAAAATGTTTTATGTGTGTGTTTTCCAATATAGAAATTCTCCTTATTTCTTAGCTTTTGAAGTACAGTGCTGTTTTTCATTTAGCTCACAAACATTTTATTTTGTTATGGGGATTGAACTCAGGACCTTGCGCTTACAAGGCAGGCAGTGGCATCACTGAGCTAAATCCCTGGCTTTCACAAACATTTTATTTAACAGTATAAAGATAAAATGTAAAGTAGCTTTTTATTCTATGGGACAGTCACATGCCTGAGGTATTTTGAGGAAATTATAGAAGTGTTCCTAAAATTGAAGAAAAGGGAAAAAAAAGACCCAATTTGAAGACCCAATTTACTTGGAAAAATACTCACTTTTAATAATGAACTCATCCAGACATTTCTCATTTAAAACTAACGTTTAAAAAACTTGGATGGAAATAAGGATGCATTTGAGTAAATATTTTCTAATACATTTAAATGATACATTCCCCTTTCATCTTCTCATTTCTCCTCTTTTACCTGTTCTTGTCATCTAGGCTAAATAGGGACAGTTCCATAGACTGGTCTCACTATTTTCTTATATGGCATAGATTTTTCTTGCCCTTATTAAAGATTATTTCTAAGTTCAGAATTTAAGTATAAAATGAATTTATTTTAAACACATGCATTTTTTCATATTCTACCTTCGTGGGTTACTGAGGTTTAAAGGATTGTTTGCCTTTTGCTAAATGATTCCAAGTTACTATGCTTTGTGAATTATGCTTTTGTGAGTTTGTATTCTCCATGCTTTAAGCATCCAGTCAGTAATCTTGCTGCTTTTATATGTGCCAGCTTTGAGTAGTATTCTGTATCTCTCACAGCTTTTATTTGTTGCATTTAATCTGCCATGGTCTCAAAAATATGATGATAAACTTTAGAATTATGTGTTTCTAACATGTGTATTTATATCTACTATATATCATAGTATGATAGTGCATGAGCTTTAATACTGACAACCATAATAGTTCTTTTGACTGTGGAGAGCCCTGCTTTGCTTATTTTTCAGCTGTCAGTTATGTTCAAAATAGTCGAGGCTGCCGGTAAGTGACTTCTGTTTCAGGGAACTGCCTTAATCTTGTAGCCAGACAGCTAAGGTATCAAATTTCTCTTACTTCTTCTATTCATTTGTGTGGTATGAGGGGCCTGTACTTTTGGGCAACCAGAGGAGCTCCCCTTTCTTCCTGGGGACTACAGTATTTCAGTGAATTTCCTCTCACTATTTTCTTATTCTTTTCTTGGGTTCTTCTCCTTGTCTCTTAAATTTTATGTCTTTAAGAGAAAAGGGAGATTAAAATTTGAAGAACTTATACAATTGTATTGCATCATCTTTAACCCGCTTACTTACGTACTATTCATTTGAGTCCTTGCATTTGTTCCTGCTGTCCTGGTGTTATTGGAGTAAAGAGGGTAAATAATCCCACACAGTCATTCTCTACCCACCTCAACTTGACATTTGTGTTTATTCTCTCTCCTTCCTCTTAATGCCCATTGTCCAACCTCCCACTCTCCATCCCTTGGTTCGTTTCCCCAGGCCTTTGGAGTCTTTACCAGTAGCTTGTATTGGGTATGTGTGTGAAGAGACCTCTACACTGAGAAGTACATAATGGGTAAGAGGGCCCAGCCAGTCAGTCCACTCATCCCATTGTGCAGCTGCATCAGGGAAGACAGAGTGTGTTCCAAATATTTCAAGTTGGAACTCTTAAAAACATTTTTTCTCAGCTTTTGCATAACACTATAAATACGGGGAAATGGATTTGAAACTCTTAAATATCAGTGGAATTACAAAGAATATGTAATAAATAGGAAGGCTTTTTATTTCAAAGTATAGAATACATTTCTTTAGGACGTGCAGTTTTAAAAATATTTCACAGTCAGTTGTATTTTTCCCCTTTTCTCTGTATTAGGAATTTCCATTTTTTACTTTGACGGCATTTCCTCCTGGATTTCTTGTGCATGTCGGTGGTGTTGTTAGTGCACGCTCTGTGAAGCTCTTGGATCGCATCCACAATCCTGGTATGTTCTTTTAGAAGTTTGTTTTTACTGTTTGCTTTATTTAACTTGTGCTTATTAGAATTGATTTCTACAATGTTTTATATGTCAAACCTACTTGAAAGGAAAATGTAAACTGGCACATTACTTTACAATATTTGTAGTTATCTTAATTAAAAACAAACTAAAGGTATATTTTATTTGCATTTCTATGTAAAACAAGCAGATCTTGATTTATTTTTGGCCAAGATATCACTTAGAAAGTATCTTTAAATCATTTTTGAGTCAGGTATTTTCTTTGACCTGGAGAAATTTATAATTTGACTATACGGCCTTGACTTAAGATGCTAAGTGTTTCTACTTGCAGTCGCCCTTTTTAGGTTATTAATTTCTTTATTCCTAAAAGAGATATTTTTATATTGTAATTTTGAACATTGTATAGAAATACCAAAAATTAAAGAAAAATAGACTAACCTCTGATAAGAATGGTAGCTTACTTCCTTAAAGGATGGGGCCAAAATTTTAAAAGGAGATAGACATAAAAGTCCTGGGTAATTTTAGGCCCTTGGGTTAGAAATATCTTGATTTTTCTAAATCAGTAAGCATGATAAATGGTAGAAACTCAGAATGGAATTATTACATTTGTTTTTGAGTAGAAGTTCATTTCTTTGCTCTAGTCACTATTTTGGTGATATACCTTAAACCTGAAGTTATATTAGTAGTAGTATTTTTTTTTTTTGGTACTGGGGATCAAACTCGGGTCCTTGCACTTGCGCAGCAGGCGGCGAAACCACTGAGCTAAATCCCCGGCCTTATATTAGTATTCTTATTTGGCTTCTGTCCCTATATATTTTTAGGAAATTTTGTCACTTGCTGTAACCTCTTGGTGACACTTCTATTGACAGCTATGAAAAGTAAAATGCTTTGATATTATTGCATGGATAACATTACCAGTAGTGATTTTAAGGCTGTGGCACTATAGAGCATTACCATTTAAAAATTTCTGAATATTTAATTTATGCTCTGTGGTTTGATTTTATGTGCATTAATTACAGAGAAGCATAGTGAAATTTTTCTGGACCCTGAATGAGATTTCACAACAGCAGTTCTTAGTCAGATTTACTTAACTCTAAAGCTTAGCAAACATGTCTTTTGAGCACCAGTCTTTTCTTTTTTCTTCTTGGTTTATTGTTTGCCCCATTTCTTATTTTTCTGGTCAGTTTAGGATCTTTTCTTCATTATACTGTCTGTATATTCTGTAACACTTACAGAAAATTAAGATTGATGCCAACTTAAAGTATTATGTTCTTGAACGCTATGTCAAATTCTGTATCTTTGCATTTAGGAATTTGAATTATTTGTGAAGTGGAAGGAAATATTGATATTAACTGGGTGACCCAAGGATAGTTACATGTGTTTCTATGGCTTATTGACTCAGATATTTTAATAGATGGCATCCATTTATATAAAAAATGGTTTTAGGAATATATTCAATTGTTGGTAATGTCTTCTGGTTACTGAAAACATTTTAATTTTGTCTTATCACTTCCATGTACTCTGAATAAACTGTAGAGTCTGGGAGAACAAATAAATGTTACTTAAATACATTTAAGTAGAGAGCTATATTTAAGATACTAATACTTCTTACAAAAACTGCTTTTGGGGATTTATCTTACCTACCAGTTTATTCTAACTGTGTGAGAAATATAAGAATCCAGGCCCAGGGAAAAAAACAGGAATCTTTATTACAGAATATTTTATATGTTATAATTATCAGCTTACCAGTTTTCTCCTTTTCTTCCTCTTTCAGAATAGTTTTTCAGTTAAAATTCTTAGTTATTAATGGATTATTCCCTGAAGTTTATGGGCATGTACATATAAATGTTTTTAGTGATGTATGAAATATATTTTTATTTAGTTTTCATTTTATTACATATATATCAAGTATATATTCTAATAATTCCAATATTATCTTATTTTGACTTAAAACATCACATCCTTGGATTGTTTTATGTATACATTATACACTAAAAAGGAGCATTAATCTCCAAACCCCTTATGTAACTTTTTATGAGAAATTTCAATCTGTTGAGGAAAGTAGAATGTTAACACAAAATGAAACTTTGGACCAGTATCTGCCATAATGAAGAAGATACAGTAATTTTGTAATACTGAGTTACTCTGCTGAGAGAAACTTAGGATTGAGATGCATGTGCCAATGTTAAAAATGCTGTTTGTGTTCTCAAATTAATATTGCAGCTATTTTTTTTGACTAGTGAATATGGGAGATTTTTATTTCATTCTAAATATAAAGCGGAAAAACTTCCTTTTAAAACCACTACCACATAATAACTTTAGATTATTATTTTAGAGTGTTTCTGTATTAGAACTTCTTTCTTTGTTAAATATTAAGCAAATAGCATAAAAAAACGAAAGAATGGGGTGGTTTTAAAACATCAAGGTAATTAATTAGACTAGTTAATCTCAGATTACTGTGGCATGCTTCTTCTCTTTTCCTGTTTCTATCTCTTATTAACTCTGCTGTCTGTGTCTTTCCAGTTCCTGTCGAGTGCTGTCAGTTTTGTTCTTGTTTGTAGTTTTTTTGTTTTATTTCTACTATTCTGCACCTAAAACTGATCTACTAATTTGCTGTTTTGAACTCAGCCTTTGTCGGAATTATGGGTAACACAAGATCTTACAAACTGCTAGACTGGAATAGTTTCAATGCAGGTATTTTAATGGTCATTCAGTACTACATACGCTGACAAAAATTATGGCAGCTCAGTGAAGTTTTTAGAAATATTCTAGCTTAAATAGGTTTAATGTCAATTCAGTCATACAGGTACATTCTGCAATATGTAATTACTTGTGATTTCCATGGAAACACAAATATAAAAATGTGTTAAGATGAATTAATGAAAACCATAGAAATACCATAAATTATGAGTGACTTTTCTTACATGATTAACTTTCAGTACAGTAACTAAACTATTTATGTATTTTGGACAGGTTTTTTATATCAGGTAAATTATATAGGCATTAACTTTATGATTAGGCAAATATTTGTTAAATATAATTGTTAAATGGCTAACTTGATAAATTGTAAAATAAAGTATTTTAAACTGCATATTTAGATTTTTGTGTGTGTGTGTGCCGGGGATCAAACTCAGGACCTTGTGCTTGCGAGGCAGGCGCAATGCCACTGAGCTAAATCTCCAGCCCTGCATAGTTAGATTTGAATAGAATATATGTACTGTTCTATAAAATATTATAAAAATGTAGCAGTTAGCATTTTTATTTGTAATTCTGTTAAGTGTTCCAAAATTTGTTAACCAGGAGCAGATTTGAGGGGGATTAACAGCTTCCATAAGCTTTCCTCTTTCTCCTTCCACAAGAATATAATTTTTCTTTTAAGTAATTTATATGTTGCTATAGCTTATAACTCTTAAAGAAACCAAAGATAGAGAACTTTACAGCTGATGATGTGGTTTAGGATCAAGACCAATTAATTTTTATTTTTCTTTCTTTTTTTCTTTTGGTACCGGGGATTGAACTTGGGACCTTGCGCTTGTGTAGCAGGCACTGGAACCACTGTAATTTTTCTTTTTGATAAGAGCACATTCTCTTACTAATATAAATGTCTCATTGTTAATATTGTCTATTTTTTGGAATTAAGTTAAATAATAGAAGTTTTAAAATTCAGTATCAATGCTGATACTTGCCTTAATGAAAATTTTCAGTACTTTGTGTCAGAAAGAGTATCTTAAAGACAAGCAAAAATACCAAAGGGCTCAACATTTTAGATAATATCCTATAATCTTTTCAATATTGTGAATCTTTTTTGTTCTTAGGAATCCAAGATGCAAATTCTGATGTAAGTAATGGATGTTTGACTATGAAGTAACTCATGTTTATCCTGCAGATTTACCTACATCCTAGTAAACATTCTAATTATGACCAACCTTTGCAGTTGTAGACTTTTACCAACTGGTAAATGAAGGAAAATTATCTCTATTTTTTAATCTGACTCTTTACCATAATGCTATCATTCATCAGAATTAAAATTGCCATTCTTTAGAATTGATTTTTATTGAGAAATTTAAGAATAATGTATTGGTTTCATTTCATTTCATAAAATGTATTTTTAAAACATGGTCAGCGTAGAGTAGTGTGAAGAGAAAAAGACTATGTGTAAAAAAGATGGGACAGATTGCTCATTAATAATTTAAGGAAGTAAGATCTTGTCAGGGCAAAGGTTTCAGGGTGTGATTGATGTACTTGATGTACAGTATGTTGGTTCAGTGAGAGAACAAATAGTATTTGAAAGTGGGAAAGGCAAAACTTGAATCTCCCAAACCTAGGATATTGTCCCCTGTAATTACAGAGTTTTTGCAAGGAGAATCATGGTTGAAGAAGCAGTATATCTTGCCATCATTTAAAATAATGTCAGGTGGGAAGTATATGAAGAAAAAAAAATGGATTGGTTTTAGAATGTTAGAAGTAAGAGAACGATGACAATATTTGACTTAATGGTGTCCTAGTAGTATGCTTTTGACTGAGGCATTAGACTTTTCCTGTAACAGTTCATATTCAGAAATAAGGCTGATTTTGATAATCAGTTTAAAAAAACTAACTTGGTAATTCTGAAGAGCATATGATATATTTGGTAAATATATTCAAACATTTATGTATTCTCTTTAATTTGGAAATATTTAGTAATTGTTCTTTTATTACCATAGAAAATCAGAAATTGACCACATTATTAAGAAAACAATTGTTGTAATTATTTTAATTAATACTAGAATTGTTCACTGATACTGTATTTCTTGGCTTAGCCTTCCCAGAAAAAGGAAAAAGAAAGAATATCATATTAAATATATTTAATAATTTTCAACATTCTTATTTCAGATACTTTAAACTGTGAATAGATATAGGAAAATATGTCACACAACACTTTCATAGATTACATGAGCATGTATAGTCATGCTCTGCATGATGACTTTTTGGCCAGTGGGTCACATCTGTGACAGTTGTTCAGTAAGATTGCATTGCCTAGTGATGTAGCAGTCGTCATTGTGTAACCACATGCTAATGAGGCATTTCTTAAAAAAAAAATATATATATATATGTATGTATATATATCCTCATTAAGTGCCACATTACTGTATCAGAATTTATTTTATGCAAAACAGTTAGCTAGGTATTTGAGGGCAAAGCCTGTCAATTCTCCTATCTTGATGAAATTCATATTCTTGGGAGATAGGAAAACCTTAAATGATTGACTATGTGATATGGTGCGGTATAGGATACAGAGTCCAAGAAGGCATGATTAACTATATGTGGAGGCACAGATTCCTGAGCTCAGATTTGAAGAATATATAGGACACTTACACAAACTTATATTTCAAGCAGTACATTTAGACCCATATTAATATGTGCTTTGTGTGTGGTTCTGAAACTTCCAGCATTTGCAAAACAATATGCCAGTCAGTACTTTTGATGATGTTTACATAGTTACTTCATACTTAACTAAGGTTTTTGCTACAGAGTATAAAATGTCTTGATCAGTTTAGCTTTTTTCTCCATCTCCTTTTCTCCTGCTTTGCTGTCTTAAGTTTGTGTTAACTACACTGATAGCAAATATTCTTATAGAGCAGGGAGAAGGGATCCCTTCTCATGTCTGAGAGTTTGTTTGAGTAAATGCTATCTTTTCTTATCTTGCTTCTTATGTTTCAGTCCTGGTAACAGACTCTGAGAAAGCAAGATGAATTTTGCCACTAGTTAGGAGGATATAGCATTTACAAATCTTGTGTATGACATGCCAGGAATAAGTACATAGCAATAAGACAGGTAGCCCATGGTCACATTTGCATTAGGTGGTCCTTGGCTATCAGACAGCAACGTTAGAGACAGGGAGGCCAGCTAGGGAGGGCGTGCAATCATCATGGCTAGATAACTAGGGTTCCATGGTGGTAGGAGAGCTAACTTTATTGAGTATTAGCTATGTGCCAGGCATGTTTCTAATACTTATGATAATAGGTCGTTTAATCCTCAGAACATCTCTGAGAGCCAGGCATGGTGGTACACCGCTAAAACTCCAGCACTTGGGAGGCTGAAGAGGGTGGATTGTGAGTTCAAGGTTAGCTTGAGCTACATAGTGAGTTTGAGGCAACAAATGAACAAACAAATCTCTGAGGCAGGCACTAGTGTCATTTTGTAGGTAAGCAAAATAGAACAGTTTGCTCAAGGAATAGTTAGAAAGTGGCTAAGCCACAATTTGAACCTGAGTACTTTGGCTTCAGGACCTACACTTTTACCCACAGACTGTGAAATATGTAGAATGTGAAATCAGCAGAACTTAGTAGCTAGCAGAATGTTACATGTGAAGCAGGCTCTTGTTAGCTTTTGGCTGAGAAAGATAGATTTTCTCACATATCTACAACTCTAAAGTTTCAGTGAGCACTTGATTCCTATCCTTTGTAAACTCCAGCTTATTGGCAAGTTGAATTGCAAAAAATAAAACATAAAAAAAGTTGAAGAGTAAATGTAAATACTCCTAGCTCATTGTTTCTCAAATGGGTATGATCTTTTGTTTTATCTTTTGAGAGACTATTGAAAGTATTTTTGAATAGCACAGATACATAATTTTTTTCAATCAGTGATGCTCAGTGTAGTTTAGGAAAATACAGTATGTGATTATTTCTCTGTATAGGATTCATCCCAGCCTAAATATTTTTTCAGGAAGTGCCAAGAGGAAATATATAGTAGTTACATAATGTGGTTTAAAAATGTAGTTATATATTAGTTTGAAATAGCTTCTAATCTTAGTATTTTTAATTGATGTGTTAGGCCCTGAATTAATAAAACAGGTTGTTTAAAACTAGGTATCTTTTCTTTAGTTTTTGAGAATATTTTTGAAAGTTTTAAAAAATGTTTTAGACAAATCATAGATTTTAAGGCATATTATACCTAAGATTTGTTTTCCATCTTAAGATAGATTATTACTAGTGATAAGGCAAGCTTTAGATTACTGGTTGAAATTAGAAAAGTATACTATTTTTGGTCAGCCATCAGAATTATATTTGTTTAATTGAAACAAAAAGATCATAGTCACTACTTTACAAAATATTTAATATAATGTGAGGCTACTGATTGTAAAGAAATACGTATAAAATATGTCAGTCTGCTCATCTAGATTACTTAAAAAACTTTTTTCAATAATAATCTTTAATGTAGTGGTATTTATGAGAACACCAGTGGCAAGCCAGGCAGACATCCTCTCTCCACATCCAGTCTAGGCTAATTCCTACCCAATTTGTGCCTCTGTGTGTGTGTGTGTGTGTCTGTGTGTACACACACGTGTGGTAGATAAATGGAGATAAGTGGAAGATGTTCTTGAAATTTGAATTGATATCAGTAGTGACTCTTTTCACTTTGAGAGGTGTTCATGAGCAGATGTGCAAAAACTAAGCCTAAAGTAGTTAAGCACTTTTTGGTTCTCAGTATTTTAACAAATTTTTAAGAAGTAGATAAAATTCAAGAAGGCATAAATATAGCATGTATGATATCCAAGCTTTCCTGTATTACCAGTAATGTGGATAATGATTATCCAGTTACAAATTAACAGTGAAATTGCAGTTAAGGAATAGATTACATTCTGACTTTCTTCTTTAATGCACAGATAGCAAAGACTTTACTTTGGCCAATATGGATGAGATGTCAACTCCCATGTTAATATCCCAAATTCCTAAGTCTTGATGTTTGCTCTGTATTTGTACATCATTTCCTCTGTGAAGAAAATCTTTTTCTCAGGGTGATACTAATCTCCACCCAGTTTGAGGCTGAATACTCCTTTTAACCTGAACTCTCTAATATCTGTTTCATTAGGAGAAATTTATCTTCTTTGAGGTTTTTGCTGTTTGGAGTATCACTGTCAGATATTGAGGAATATAGCTTTTTATGCCATCCTTAACAAGATAGATTATCATCATATTAGAAACCCTTACTTGATCCAACCTCACACTTTATCTCTTCTATTCATTTAAAAGTTAGGTTGAACAAAAGTCTATTTGCTTTTATTTCAGGATTAAAAGATTTCCTAGGGCAGAGTTATTCTCTCCCAGAGCTGTATAAAAATAGAACTGAATATAAAACTTGAGGTAGTCTGTGTTTTCCAGTTACAAGTATGTAACTGCCTAAAATCTCAAAGGGATTCAGTTTAATAAAGGCATATTTTGTGTTGTGCTGATCACTTGCTTGCTTTCTGAGATATGGGCTATCATTTTAAGAATCCTTACCAGTTTTACCTGCACTTAAAAAACATGATAAAATAGGGGCTGGGGATTTAGCTCAGTGGTTCCGCCGCCTGCCTCGCAAGCACAAGGTCCCAAGTTCGATCCCCAGTACCAAAAACAAAAAATAAAAAAACAACATGATAAAATAATAAAAAGATGGCAAGATATCAAGCTGTGGCCATGCTCTAGAAAAGTAACAGCAGTAAAAATGAATTAATTTTAACACCAACCCACAGGTGCTGACAAAATCCCCCAAAAAGGTTATCAGTGAGGTATTGATTTAGAGCTGTTGATGCCTACAATTAGAAAAAAATATTAAAAGATTTGTGATATTATCTATGAAGAGTTTTGACCCATGGGAGAAAAATACAATAATGTGAAATGCAAGTTATATAATAATTAACTTTTGATTTTTCTCAAAATGATGTCTTTTTATAATTATGACTAATTCTGTAGATTACTGGGAGGAGTGTGGTATTTAAAGTGAAGACATCTTTTTCATAATATCTTTGAAATGCTTAATTATGAGTCACATCTCAGCTGTATGACCATCAAATAACTAAGTTGTGTTTAGTTTTATTTGTGGAATGTAAAGTTGCCATGCCTTTTTAAGCCAGACTCTGGTTTGCTTTTTATGTAAGTATGGTAGAGCCTGTTTCATATTTTTGTAGGATGAATAAAACATCAAATTCACTGGCATGTTTCCTATAAAAATTCTAATATAAAGATTACTTATTTCTGAGTTTTTATTGGTAATAAGTTAGTCTTAATCGTAATTACTCCTTGAAGATTCTCTGGCTCATGTTTGGCATAGATATAATATAGGGTTTGAAATAAGTTTAGCATTTCTTTAATATTAAATAGTTTAAATTTGATTATAATTAAATAACCCCTAAATTTAATAGCCACAAAATTCATCCTTTGACTTCTTGCTTACAGTTATAGATTACTGTTGTTAATACGATTTCTAGTTTGTGACTCAGTTCTCCCTACTGTATGCTTGCCTTGCTTTCACCTAGAATCTAGGGCCATTACTTTCTGTAACCATTTCAGTGAGCTGCCATAGTTTCAGTCTGTACTGTCACCTGATCCAAGCATGCGCCAAAGTATCACTGTTTCTGGCACCTGTATTGCTGAATCTGCTTTGCAAACCCTTCGTTCCTTGAGCTTTTGCTTTAGCCAAAAACCAGATTTAACAAATTCTCTCAGTGTGGACATATGCCATTCGCTTCCTTAGCTCCCATGCTGTGTAACTCTAGCTTTCTATTAAACTTGTAAATACTGTATTAAATACAATAATGGCATCTCCATGTGCAGTTGTGTGGCTCATGTGTCAAAATAAAGGCTGCTTGTGAATTTGTCAGAAGAATATGAATGCTCCACTTGTGCTGCATTCAGCTTTTTTTTTTCAATCAGCCACTTAATTCTTTGGTTTAATTATCTGATTATTTTATGTGTTATATCAAGGTAAGTTTAATGTAAAGTAACATTGTAGTCTGTGTGGTTACACATATCTCATAGAAATTATTATTACATACTTTTCTATTTAGACATGCTGGCCATTTCTAAATTATTTTCTTATAATTTAAATAACTTCCTCCAATTTTTCATTAGTTTAAAAAGCAATACTACAGATTACTTTCTGTGAAATTCATTTTTAAAACAGAAGCTACCATGTACTACTTGTGGTACAGATGCAGGCAACCTAATGTGAGAAAAACTATTCTTTTAAAAAATCACAATTATTTGCTTTAGAAAATAATAATTTGTGTAGAATGACTTAAAAAGTAAATAGCACATTCTAGTAGTGAGTTTAGGAAAAGATAGACTATTGTTCATGTAGTGTTCCCAAAAAACCATTTTCTAAACAGATATAGTTCTATCGTTCTATCATTATTTGTGATATCTATTTCCTCAGAATCATGAATGATTTGATAAATGAGCAACTACTTGAGTAATAGTTTGTCTTATGCTAAATCTTTCTGTTAGGAAAGGATAATATTAAATGTATGGTCAGATTGCTATACAAGCACATATGTCTTAGATGCAAAAGCAAGTACGGGCTCACAAGTGTATTGGTACTATTAATCAGTTAGGAGTCTGAAGAAATTCTAACACAGTAACAGATATGCAAGATAGGGCCAACTAATTGTTGCACACATTTCTAAATTCATAATATTGACTGCTAACACCATATTGCAGTCTTTTCTGTTTCTCTTCCTTCATTTTATCTTATACTTTGATCTTTCCCTCAGTTTCCTGAAGTCTGCATTTCTTTCTAGTCTTCTGAAAGAAAGTTTTAGGGTAGCTCGGTCTTGGATTCAAAACTTTAATTCAAGAACTGGCTGGCATCATTTCTAGCTCTGGCTTTAATCTCCTCATTTCTTCCTTTTGCCGATCTCTTCCCTGTGGAGGAAACAAAATCACATCCTAGCAGTGTGAGCTATAACAAGCTTCTTAACCTTTCTTTACTTAGCTGTCTTCACTATTTTACTAGTGAGTATAATTCTTATTTTACTCGTTTTGAAAAACATTTTGAAAATTGAATGTGTGCTTCAATTTAAAAATAGAAAGTCGTGTTGGTTTGTTTGGTTTTCAGTTTTAATAGTGCCTTATATGTAGAAAATTTACAATAAGTGCTTATCACTCTGTTTAAAGTTTTCAAATTGTTTCCAAACGGGAATTGGCTACCAAAAGAAATAAATCAAGATATATTAATTATGGACTGTTTCTGTTTTTAACATCTTTGAACATAATTTGCAGCTGCTGTTCACCAATAGTTTGCAGCTAAATACAAGTGATTAGGAAGTATGCGTGACAGCTGTTCCTTTTATAATGCTCTATTAGAAGCACTTCCTGTGACAATTAAATACAATTCTGTGATTTTTAAGTACCCCTGCTCCTCTCCCTCGCTTTTTACAACCAAGGGCCTTTTTCATGCTAGGCAAGAGCTTTACCACAGAACTACATCTCTAACCCTAAAAAAAAAAGTTTTTTTTCTCTTGGTGGTGGTGAGGTGAGAGTCTCATTGCGTTGCCCAGACTTGTCTCAAACTCCTAGGTTCAGATGATTCTCCTAGCTCAGCCTCCCAAGTAACTGGAACTACAGTACAGGTGTATGCTATCGTGGCCGAGTAAGCCATTTTTAAGTTACCCTGTCATTTATGGAATTTATTATGTTTTATCTGAAATTTGTCCTTCTATACATTCCCCAAATTATTTTTTGTATTAATCATTTCAATATATTTGCTAGTCCCTTTATTTCTTAGCATTTTGCTTTAAAACCTACATCTCTGTAGAAGGATGGCTAACGTACAGCTTTTTCTCTTTTAACCTTGAAACATCTTTGCCTTGGAAAGAACCTAGAAGATAGTAGGTTTTAAAAACTAAGTACCATGAAATGAAATCAGAATTTGTATTAAGCTTATGGATTTGACACACGAGATGTTCCCTCGGTAAGGTGAAATAGGGTATCAGTTAAGATTAGAAGTTGGATACTCTGGGTCTACATTTTAATCTGTATCTAATAAAATACTTGCCTATAGATGTCCCTTAAAGTAATTAAGCATATAGTGCTTTTTTTTTCCTAGCAACTAATTTTAAAATGTTTGAGAAGTAGGATTTTAAAGATAGGAAGTTTAAAAATCTGTTGTAGAACAATACTTCTATACCTCCTGTAGTACGTTTATTTTAAACATTTCTTACTCATATAGACTGTGCTATTGAGTAGTGAACTCATTTAAAATTTGTTTTTCAGATGAACCAGAAACTCGGGATGCATGGTGGGCAGAAATCAGACAAGAAATAAAATCACATGCTAAAGCACTTGGCTGTCATGCTGTCGTGGGCTACAGTGAATCAACTAGCATCTGGTAAATGATAACTTGGTATTCTAGACACTGTCATCTGGAAGATGTCAATTGTCATCTTAAAGGGGAAACTTTATGTAAAATATAAAGAATATAGGAGTAGTGGGTAGTGGGGTGGTTCAGAGCAGTGGCCTTTTAGTACATTTGATCAAGTTTAATATGCCATCTTTCCCACTAAAGCAGTGCCAAAGTTAGGAAATGCTGCCCCTCTGAGAGCCTCAGGCTGTCCATTGAAGTGGAGATAGAACAGCCCATCACACCCAAGTCTTTGAGGGATGGAATGAAAATGGAATACTGGCACATGGGAAGAATTAACTCTAGGTCTAATATACTCCAGTTTGTGACTTTGCTAACTCTTTTCACTAGGATACTTGGATCCCTTGATCTTTTATAAATGAATTTGCGGAGTGTCTTTAAAGTTTGTATGTAAACTCACCCTACCTGCACTCACAAACTGGGATGTAACTCTGTCCTGCTAACAGATCATCCTTTTTAACTGCCAAGTTAAGGAGGACTTCCATACTCTTGGTTCTGAGTTCCTTTTCCTCCTGCCTTTTCATCTGAACAACTGTAAAGTCAGTGCCATTCGACTGTTCATAGTTTCTTATTTTCAAATATGTTTCTGCTTTCTTCATAACTTCTCCACCATCTCTTCTATTATACATGATTCATCCCTTCTAGCAGCCTGGGTTGAATTTTCTCCTTATCAAGTCATCCATTGTCACTTGACTTTTAACCATATTTTGAACCCTACTATCTCTTGAGAATACTCCACTTTTAAAAAATTGAAACTTTAATACTCTCAGGTTACAATTTACTGTTTTTCCACCAATCTCATTTTCTCGCTTATACCTAGTTTGTTTTATTATCTTATTATCTTAAGCAAGTATTTTCCCCGTCCCTTTCTTGGGTTCTGGCTTTACTTGGCGTTTTGCCATATTTGAACCCTACTTCCAGCCCCTTCATAAGTTTATGATTGATGTCATCTAGAAACTGTTTTGACCTTCTGCTATCTTATTTTCCACCTTTTATTTTTGGATAATTCATACTGCTAGATCCTCTGGTCTTATGGTTAATCATTATGGTTAGAAAAAAATCATTAAAATATAATAAATATGGATATTATAGAGCCATATTATTTAATCTTTTGTAGGGTAGTTCTTTTCTGTTGCAGAGCGTGAACTACTTTAAAACTGTTTGATTCCCAGAGTAGCTGTTCTACTCTTGTTAACCACCAACTTTGTAATGCGCATTCTGCCTTATTCTGCTGTAGATAGTTTTGCTTTATGCGTAGATTTAGCACCATATGTTATCAGCTATTGGGGATGTGATTTGGTTGATTAAGACAGGATCTTGCTATGTAGTTCAGGCTGTCCTTCAACTGACTGTAGCCCAGGCTGGCTCTGAATTCGTGGCAGTCCTCAGCCTCCCTGTCCTGGGATTACCGATGTGTCCCACCACACCTGCCATTGTGAGGGGTGTGATTTTAAAAAGATGTAGTTCTTCCCATCAGATTTACATTCTAGTAGAGAATTATGACAAGTGTAGTACATGTTTTATCTCCCCCATGCCAAGATTGAACCCAGGGCTTACACTGAGCTACATTCTCCCAACCTTTTTATTTTTTATTTTGAGACAGGGTCTCACTAAGTTGTGCAGTCTGGGCTTCAACTTGGTGACCCTCTTGTCTCAGCCTCCCAGAGTGCTGGGATTACAGGCATGATCAACTACAACCAGTTTAATACATTTTATGATTGCAGTATCCCATGATGCTTCATTCCCTGTGGGTTGGAAGTCAGAAGGATTGGAAGAAAATGTCAGTGACATAATGATGTTTGAACTGAATCTTGGGAGATAAATATTATATAAATGAAGGAAGGAGGTGTGGGGAGAATGTCCAGAGCTAAAGAATAGCAGGTGGAGAATGCCAGACAGTGTAGAGTCAGCATGGCTACAGACAGGTCACAGATGCAAGAGTCAGTGAACTAGTCCAACGAATTGACTTACAAGTTTCAGTGTATCTGCCAGAAACTCCTTGCCCCTTCCCTCTAGATGTTAAAAACCTTTGTATTTAAATACCATCTTTACTAATTTCTCCTAACCTGTCCTACCTGCTGTTACTGGAATGAACTCTTTGAAGTGTACATTTGCTCTTATTAACTCCTTGGTTAAAAACCTGCAGAGGCTCCATGTTGTTCTTCTGACATCCTCGGTGCGGTGCCTGCTTACCTTTTAAGCCTAATGTTCTCTGCTCACTCATAGTTCAAGTGACTCTTCCTTTGTTTTTCAGTTTCTGTTTCATTTACTCCCTATTCTGAGCATTTCTTCCCTCGGCTGCTACTTATCTCATTATCATTCAGTAGTTATGTTGATTGTTTAATCATTTTAACTTTCAAACCAAATGATATATAATAAATAATTTTTAAAAATTCATTTAAAATCATACACGCACACACATATATATCGTAGAAGCTCCATTTGGTGTATTTTGGATATTGTTTTGGATATGTTTATAATTATTCAAATTCAGATCAAGCTATAACAACATAGATGCTTGCATAGCTATGCTTTTGGAATCATTTTTAAAGACTATTTTGAAGAATATCTTCATACAATGTAATAGATTATTGCTGGAGTTAATGGAGTTACTGGAGTTAATGAAACATTTTAATCTTTCAGGAAGTTAGTATATTAAATATACTTTGTTTTAGTTTTTAATTTGTAAAGAATTCTTCATGCTCCATTTTAGGCAAAATTTTTTGGGGGGAGGGATGCTGGGGATCAAACCCAGAGCCCTGTGCATGCTAGGTAAGCTCCCACCACTGAGCCACACCACCAGCCTGTTATTTCTAGTTTCTAACCTAGGTTTTAATAGGTAATTGTGGGTATTACTTAACATTTAATAGAATCCTACTGAAATTTAATTTGTCACTCTTGTCATCATTTTGATATTAGTAGTAGTTATACTGGATGAAAATGCTAACTTTTTAAAAAAATTTATTTTGTTTTCCAGTGAAGAGGTCTGTATTTTATCAGCATCCGGCACAGCGGCAGTACTGAATCCTCGATTTCTGCAGGATGGCACCGTGGAGGGCTGTTTGGAACAGAGGTTGTCCTGGCAGCTTATTTCTAGAAGGGCAGAGAAGGAGAAGTTGACTTTTTTTCTCAGAGCCAGGATATTTCTTCTCCACAAGGGAGGCTGTTAGTGGTGTAGTATAGAAGTCAGGACCAAGCACTGCAGTGAGTGCACTAACTGGTGGCTGTAGAGGAGTATGGGATTCTGTACTGTATTAGACACATTGTTATCTCTAGCATCTCGATAAGTGACTCATGTCTGTAAATTGCGGAATTTCAAATTACTCTTTTCGGCTTTGTCATAATATAGAAATAATTTATTTTACTTGACTGTTCTCTTCCCTCCTTTTCCTCTTGTCTTGCCTTCGAAAACGGGAAAAGGTGATGAAAGAATTTTCCTAAAGTTCTTATTTCACAAAATAAAACTATTCTACAAAATTATATGAAAAAACTTTACTACATGTGAAACAGAAAGTGAAAGCATTAGGTAAAATGAGCTCACTTTCTGGCTTATTTAATTATTGGTCACTTTTAAACTGTTATCCATAAATATCAAAAATGCTTTCTGTAAGTAGTTAAAACTACCAAGTACATATTTTAATAGGTGAATATATATTAAAAGTATATATGCAAATACGTACACAAATATAAACCAACTATTAGTTTGATATTAGTCTACCTGGATAAAAAAATTCTATTAACCTTTGTAGCCACCATAGGTATTTTTGCTTTTTTCTGCTAGTATTAATATGTTAAGTATAAATTAAGAAGGTAAAAGTATTCTGTATCTGTTCAAATTTGTTACAAATTTGCAAGTCTCTGTTAACAAAACTGTTCTAGCTCTGGTAGTCAGAAAAGGACCTTTTTTGTCAGTACGCGTTAAAATGGGTATTCACCATTCTGTATTACGGAGACTTATCCTAAGTAGGGGGCATTTGAAGTATAGTAATCAGTTGGAGTATTCTATTGAGAAAACTATCTTTGCCTGTCCTGCAATGTTATTCTTACATCCCAGTAGATTTCATTGTTTTTTTTCACAGTGCAATGGATTGAACCCGTGCCCTTGGTTATGTTAGGCAAGTTGCTCTCAGCTGTTACTAAGCTGCAGTCCCAACCTGATTTCATTCTTGATTTGACAGAATTCTTAAAATGATCTTTTTCCTGCTGCTTTTCTCTGTTTTGTGACTTCGATAGATACAGTAATTCTCAAAGCAGCTCGGTACTCTTATAGGGCATTTAAGTACAACAGATACCATCCATAGTTGTAAAAGAGGAAATATCTTTTTTTCTGCTATAAAATTACTAGTGTTCACTTGAAAAAAATTGGAGAATGTAAAAAACTAGAAGGAAACTAATTCCTTACATCTCACTATTGAGGAACAGTCCCTTCTGTTCATATTTCAAGTGCTTTATATATTTTAATGCACTTATTTTTAGGTTTTATGATGTTGTACCGCTAATGTTTAAATTTGTGCAGAGTGTTCCATTAAATATTGTTCCATTTTTCTCCCCTCTAACATGGCTTTGGATTCAAACAAACTGAAATTCAACTAAGAAGTCTGCTGCTTAGGACTTAGGACTTAGTGTGACCTAGCAAGTTAGTGTCTCAGGGTGAATTCAGGCTAAGTGGAACTAGCACAGTATTTGTTGCTGTTTGCTGGGTGTTGTATTGGGGAAGAATATTTATTGAGCTGTTTTTTTGACTTCAAAAATACTAAAGATGTGTCTAGGTAGATATTCCAGTATTCCAGAGAGGCTCTGAGAAGTTAAGTAATGTTTTCAGGGTCACACAGCTTCCCTCAGCTCTGTCAGATTTTGCTCTAATTTTTAATGTATCAGGATGCTGTCTCCACAGGAGAAAAATATCTAGAAGTAATTTCATGTGATTTAGAGGTTATTGTGAAAATAATGTATAAAAGGAATCTATAAAAACCCCATATATATATATATATACACACACACATACATATACATATTTCCTTCCCCTTTTAAATTTGTCTACTTACCAAGTTTCAGCTTCTAGTGGAGATTGAGACTCATGTCTTTTCAGGACCATAGAAGATAAGGCTTTGTGAAAATCTGAGGTTCTCAGTGGAGCTTCCCTATGTTTCCATCCTCTTGTCTTGACTTCCTCAAATTTAGTGACCAAGGAAGTGCTTAGCTGGGCTTGGTGGTGCATGGTTGTAATCCCAGCATTTGGGAGGGTGAGGCAGTAGGATCACCTCAAATTCTAGGCCAACATGGGCTACACCAATGAGTTCAAAGTCCAGCATGGAATACATAGTGAGACTGACTCAAAACACTTAAAAAAGAGAGTGGTTAATCATTCTAAAATGAACTAATGAAAGAGTGTAGTCCAGTAAACATTTTACAGTGAATGGGGAGGTTGGGGGTGGTATAGTTGTGGCTTATTTGTGTCATTTATGAAACAGATGTTTTGAGTTTCCAGAAAGGCTACAGTGGTTGTTGGAAATTAGAGGCTTTAGAGTATGCCTATTTTTGACTTGTTCTTCGTTAAAATGCATTTGTTTTTATGTTAATTTTAATTGCTTAAAAAATTTTTTCCTTAGGAATTTTTAAATATTTGTCAGCCAGTAGACTGTCACTCTGACTTCCACTCCCATTTTTATGTGGTATCCCTCCAAAATCTTTGAGCTATAGTGGTCTGTTGGTCAGGTGGTAAGTCATCAAACATAGAACTGGTACACAATAACTATACTCTTTTTTTTTTTTTGAGGCAGGGGCTCCCTTTGTGGTTCAGGCTGGCCCTAAGCTCACTATGTAGCCTAGGCTGGCCTTGAACTCACAGCGATCCTCCTGCCTCAGCCTCCAGAGTTCTGGGATTACAGGCATGTGCCACCATGCCTGGCTCACAGTAACTACTTTTATAAGGCGTTTCTCTCCTAGGAACAGTGTATGGTTCTGATTTCATGTCACTTGTAGTTCTTACCAGTCATAGTAGTACTCTTCCCTACTCCTCTGTGGTAGAAGATGCATAGCTTATATGCAAGTACTTTATACATAATATGTACTTTTGAAAAATTCATAGGTTTTTCAAGAATACCTTTTTTCTTTTGTGCAAGGGATCCAACCCAGGATAGAATGCCTTGTTTACTTTTCTTCATGTATTTATATAGGCTTGAAGAAAATTTGCCTGTAGGCTGTGGATTTTGCCATATACCATATGATGAACTGAATATGCCATTTCCAGCTCATCTCACATATTGCTACAACTGTAGGAAACAAAAAGTTCCTGATGTTCTCTTTACAACGATAGACCTCCCCACAGATGCAGCAGTCGTTGGAAAGGGTTGTCTTATTCAGGCAAGGTATGCTAGTGAAGACAGTATCTGGCGTCCCTGAAAAATCAGGAGATATGGAGTCAAACCTGTTTTCAGATGTGTATTGTTTCCTACCAGTTCAATGCTGGCAAAGCTGAGTAATTTTATTGGAAGTTTGTATTTTATTCCATGTACAGTTGGGAGTAAAAATACTCTCTGTATAAAAACTCAGATTATATGCAAAATCATTTACGTTCTTCACAGATGTTTATTAGTATTATTAATTAACCTGCCTACATGCTTAGATTGTGACAATATACTGCTTTAATGACATAAAATGTATATTATGGAAATTGATTTTTTTTTTCCTTTTAAATATTGCAATACAGTGTTCTTTTACTATTTCACTGAGTGTTAAGAGTTCTTTTCAAAGGTGCTGGAATAGGAAATCCTAAATTGTGACCACATACAGCAAGCAGCTGTAACTGTGAGGACACTGACAATTGCCAGGTTACCACCGCGGGGGATTTCTGTCTTCATTTCACTTACGGTCTCAGCAGTAGTGACACAGTTGGTCATTTCTCCATGGTGAAATTCCTTTGACCTCACAGTGCCGCTTCTGTTTCTTCTTACCTTTGTGTTAGGCTTTAGCCTTCTTGTTGACTCCTCATTCTTATTTTCGAGAGCCATGGGTTCTGACCTTCTATTAACTCCACAGATCTATAGACTATCTATGTATCTATGAACTTTAAATTATAATACTATTCCAGAATGTCCTTCTGAGACTCAGGCCCATGTACCTGTCTACTTTGCACCCCATTTTGCTATACCACAGGCATTCATGTTTGTTCAAATTCATGTTTGTTGATTTTCTCCACTTCTTTATTAGTCTTTTGGTTTTATTTTTCTATCTAGTTCTTCATGCCAAAATTGGTATTCTTTTTTTTTGATACTGGGGATTGAACTCGGGTCCTTGCGCTTGCGCAGCAGGCAGCAAAACCACTGAGCTAAATCCCCGGCCCCGGTATTTTTTAATATTGTCCTCTTTCTTAGCCTCTCCACGTCTAATTCATTATAAAGTCATGTTGAGTTTTCTTCTGAAATATATTTCTAATCCGTTTACCTTTTCTCCTCTTATATCTTAGACCTTTCATTTAGGATTGTTTTTCTTTTTTAGTGAAGAATTAACTTTTTTTGTCCGAAAAATATGTTTATTTTGCTTTTACCTTTAAAACATATTTTGGGCTGGCAGTTTTCTTTTAGCCTGTTGAAGATAGCCTTTTACCACTGCCTTCTGGATTTCATTGCTACTGTTAAGAAATAATAGTCTACTATCTATCTCTTCCTCGGCTCTTGAATCGAGTTTATAGTCTATAAAATGCTAATGTTAAATAATCTTTCAAAACTCAGTGGACCATATATGTGTGGTTCTATTTCTAGATTCTGTTTTATTCCAATGATCTATATGTCTTTCCTTACACCAACACTGCCTTGATTACTGTAGCTTTAAAAGAAGTCTTAAAATTGGGTGCTAAACATCTTCCAACACTGTTTTTGTTTTTGGCTTTTCTGGGTCCTTTGTACTCCTACATAACTTTTAAATTTCAATATCCAGTTCTTCATTTATAACAAGTATACACAGACCTGAATTTTTATATATACCTTGTGTTTTCTAATCCTGCTAAATTCAAGTACAAGTTCTAGGGGCTTCTAGAGATTTCTTAGTTTTTTCTCTGTAGATGATCATTTCATCTGTATATAAAGATTTTGCTTCTGCCATGCCAATCCTGTCCTAGTTGTGTCATTTTATTGCCAGACTATTTTGGTGGGGACTAAGTTTCAAAGTTTAATGGACAGATAAAGAGTAAGCATATCTGCCCTTGTTCTCCACCTTAAGGAGAAAGCATTGTATCTTCTCCATTCATACAAGATGTTCTCGCTGGAAGTATGGAGTACATGTCTTTAATCTGTTGAGAAGATTCTGTTCTACTTCTAGTCTCCTGATAGCTTTTACCATGAACAGCTGTAGAATTTAGTCCAGTACTTTTTCTCCAACTAGTGACAGAATCATGTGGCTTTTCCCTTTCCTCTGTTCAAATGATGACTTTTGGGGGTGGATCTTCCAATGCTGAACCAACACTGCCATCCCTATAACAAAACCACTTTCTACATCCTGCCAGATCTGACTTCTAATAGTTTGTTTTGTTAAACAAATTTCTATCTATGTTCATACTTTTTTCCTATTATCTTTATCCAGTTTTAGGATTAGCACAATGTTGAGTTCCTAAAATGAAGGGAGAAGAGTTCCTTCTTTTTTCTGCTTTAAATGTTTGATATAATTTATCAGTTAAAATGTTTATGAGCCTGCTGTTGTCATATAGGTAGGTTTTCAAGCTAGGAATATACTTTCTTTAATAGGTGCTATTCAAATTTTATATTTCCTCCAGAGTTAGTTTCATTAATTTGTCTTCTAAGTTACTTCTTAGAAGTTGTCAAATTTATTTCAAAACAGATTTTTGTAATATGCTTTCTATATCCTTTTAAATTCTGTAAAATCTGTGGTAATGTCTCCTAGATCTTAATATTGTAATTTTAAAAATGTATAACTGATATGGTGTAACAGGACAAAAAGGTCTAAAAGAGCAGGGGAATTGAGAGGAGTAGGGGAAGGGAAAAAAGGGAAAGGAAAAAATATGAGAAGAGGAAAAAATGGAAACAAGGTCTTTGCAAATAGGGAAGGGTGGAGGGGGTGAAGGGAGGGCAAGGGAAGGGGAAAAAAAATAAGAACCAAGACACTCATGTAATGCTACAAGATCCCAATGATGAATGTAACTGTATTGTTTACCTAAAAAGTACCAATAAAGTTAATGGGAAAAAAAAAAAAAGAAAAGAAATAATAGTCTGTTGTTCCTTTGAAGATAGTCCATCTGGTACTTAATAGAAGATTAAATAACATGTTCTTTTAATGAGTAAATTAATTTTTCTTCTGCTTTCCATTCATCTTATGATCACATGAACCTGTGATTTTAAATTATATTGTCTAGAGATTTTTGAGGAGTATTAAGTCATTTCTAGAGATTTTGAGATTTTTAAAAAAATTTTTGTTAAACTATTTTTGGTTAAAGTTCACACAGTGACAAAAATGGCAGAAAAGATTATTGCTATAACTTTATAAACCTATTTGAAATAACTAGATGTTTTATTAATCACACTTTTGGAAAGTTTTAAAATTTAGACTTATTTTAAGCTGATAGAATATGTACTATCCATTGACAATTATTTGCTTTTATAGGTTATGTCGCTTAAAAAAGAAAGCACAAGCAGAAGCAAATGCTACAGCTATCAGTAATCTCCTTCCTTTTATGGAATATGAAGTTCATACTCAGCTAATGAATAAGCTGAAACTCAAAGGGATGAATGCTTTGTTTGGGCTAAGAATTCAGATCACAGTGGGTGAAAATATGTTGATGGGCTTAGCGGTAAGTTTAGAAGCTCTTGGCTTTATTTTGTGGTTTCTATAAGTTGTACAAGATTCTGTTTTGTGTGATTCAGAGTCTTTTCAAAAGAACTAGCTAAAGAAACTGACATTAAGACCTTAAGGATTGGGTACACCTTAGGAAGGGAAGAATCTAGTGATAGGCTTTCACAAATTTTAAAGGGACTGACCATAACCTCAGAAGTCCTATTTCTAAAAGTTATCAATTACAGCCTGTTTAGAAGGTGTCAACCATTGAGGTAGACTGTATTATTGTTTATATATTGCTAAAATAGGGTTTCTCCATATTGGCGCTGGTGAAATTCAGGGTAGGAGGATGTTTAGGACCATCCCTAGCCTCTCCCCAGTACATGCTAATGGCATCTCCTAGCTGGGACAACCAAAAATGTCCAGACTTTGCCAAATGTACCTTGAGGGGCAAAATCCCTCTCTGTGAGGACTGTATGCCAAATAATCTTTAGTTTTAATGGAAAAAATAAAGCAAAACATGTGAGACATTGCCTGTTATTAGAGAATGAAGGTTCATCATAAATGTGTACTTTTGGCAGACAGTAAAATGTGCATTAAAATACATGTGTTCTTAAGGGCTGAGCAACTGTGAGTCAGGAAAATGTCTCTCCTGCCATTTATGTTCACCTTGGCTTGTTAGATGATGGATTCTGACTGGAAAGATGTCAGTGGGAGAAGTCAGTGCTGCCTCTTAGGTGGCAAGAGCCCCAGAGAACTGAGTACCTGTGAAACACAAATTGGTCATATAAAATCTAACCAATATTTATGGAAATCCTCTCATTTTGCTAGCCAGAATTTTTGTCTATGTCACTGGCAATTTTTAGATTGGAATTCTTTTGCCATCTTTCTAAGATATCCATAGATACTTAATTTTCAGAAAGTTATGAAAGGGAAATCTTGTTTCAGTGTACTTGTTTAGTTAAAAAGCAAAATAGTTTTCTTTTTTCATGTATTCTTTGTATAAAAGCAAGTATATAAATTTTGGGGATTATTGTGTGGTATGATAAACTAGGTGTCGTTAATTTTTTTTAGCAAGAGCAATATGTAATAATCAAAGTAATCTGTTTGATATTAAGGTATTTGATATTTAGATTAATTTGGGGAAAAAGTATTCATCTTAATTCAGTGATCTACAAATGTGCATGCTTAGCAAGGACATAACAAATTTGTAATTCATGCTGAATATAAGACTAATGATCAGTGGATGCATATGGAGAAATGAAGACCTGAATTCATATTGAAAGGTTTGAAAAATACTTTGCCAGCTGTACCAAACATTTCTGATGGTTGAATCCCATAAAACAAGTTTATGATACTGGTATAAGACCTGACTCAAATACTGCTTTGCTGATTCATATTAATCTTTTCCTTCTTACCATTAGTGACACCAGTTGCAACTGTTGGACATTTTGATCTTTGTACTGTGTTATAATTTGTCCATTTAAACCTCTAGACTTCAAGAGTAGCTTCCATCATAGCTAATACTCTGATTGAGTGGCTTCTAGGTGTCTGACAATGCTGTTCTGGAAAGAATGTAACATTATTTTCACTTTATAAGAGCAGAAAACAAATGGTGTGATAGCTTTCGACTCCAGAGTGTTAGGGTTACATGTGCTGGAACTGGATTTCAAACCCAGGTCTATCTGGTTCTACTGTCTGTGTTTTGTTTTGGTCCGGGGGATTGAACTCAGGGCCTTGTGCTTGTGAGGCGGGCAGCGGCACCACTGAACTAATCCCCAGCCCCTACAGCCTGTGTTCTTTTTTTGTATTAAATTCTTTTATTGGTACATTGTAGGTATACAACACAATACATTTCTCATTGGGAATTGTACCTTTATGTAATGCATCTTGGTTCTTATTTTTTCCCCATTCCTAGCCCTCCCTTCACGCCCTCCACCCTTCCCTGT